TTCTCCCCTTGTTGCCGGTACTATCGAGATGATGGAAGAACACCACCAACAACAATAAACAGGCTTCCATAGTCCCTTTGCCGCAATGAAACCCCCCAGGAGGTGCGTGGTGAGATGTCCAAATGCCAAACTAGGCGAGCGCGCGTGACGCACTATCGCGAGGCATCGTCAGGTCTGTGTGAATCCACGCGTGCCATGCTCATGGGGGATGATGCATGCAAACAATCGTGCTTTGTTCGCAATGTTCGAGTGGTATTTTAAACTTATTGGCCGACGTAATGTAGTTTTTTTTTTAAAAAAAATTTTGGGTTCGGATCGCGTCGGCATGAACGCGTCGTGAAACTGGCCGCCACCCAAAACGGCCAATTTTAGTGAGGTTTGTCGCGTGAACAAAACGCGCCGTTGAGCGACTACTTGTTCAGCGCACCGCTGTGTTGGAGAGTAAATCCACGACAACCATTTGCAAATTTCCTAGTAGCGTGAAGCAGTGGGAGGATTTCCCCAAAAATCTGGCTGCCACCTGATGAAGCTGGTTGTCATTACAGACGAAACGTCACAGTACTCGGATCGTAAATGTTGTGGCTTTGCTCTCCGACACACCGGCGTAGTGCTGTACTAATATACTACACTATACACTACACTATACACTACACCACTATACACTACACCACTATACACTACACCACTATACACTACACTATGCACTACACTATACACTACACTACTATAGACTAGTGCTGTACTAGTGACCAATTGGCCACGTTTTGTTCACGTGACAACCCTTACCAGTTGGCTGTGGCGGGTTAAACGACGCATTTATGTATTCACGCGCTCTAACCCAAGAAACCTCTATTACGGATGATATTGTTGTCCTACACCAGAGCTAAAACCGCCTCCTCCTGCTGCTGCATTGCCTTTCTCTCAGCGTCGGTGTTACATCAGAAAACAACGTGAAAATGCGAACAGTGCACGGGCAATTCAAATACCGAGGCATTACATGAGCACCGGGTTGAGCAGACTCGATGTCTTTGCGATAATGGGTGCCCGTCTATTTAACGATTGAGAATTTTATAATAATAATTAAAATGTATAGTGCCCATTCTATCCTAGGATCTCAATGCGCAATGCATGAAAATCGGGAAACAAAAACAGAACCAGGGCCAACCAACCCAACTAAAGAGGGAAGGCCACTTGCAAGAGATGGGTTTTCAAAGCAGACTGAAATATATCTACCGACTCCGCCGGATTTCAAGTGGCGAGGCAGTCCATAGCTTGGGTGTCACGTTCACAAAAGCAGTGATACTCAAAAGAGCAGCGCAACCCTAGACCCAGGGAGTGCTGAGCAGTTGGAGATCTGAAGATCTCTTCCCTGCATCCAGCTCTATCGGAGACACTTCTCAGGAGCTTGTTAGTCTGCGGGCAGCGTTAATCTATGGGTAGCGTGAGTCCACGGGTAGGGTTAGTCTGTGGGCAGTGCTAGTTAGTCTATGACCACATACACACAAACACGTCAGAGTGTACTCTCGGTTAGAGTTGGTTTAACACCAGGAAAGATATCCGCCGGTTTAGACATGCAGTGTCTCATCAGCAGTCCCGCTTGATTGAATCAAGACTGGTGACCTGTCAGATATTGTAGGCAAGGACTGGTTTAGACATGCAGTGTCTCATCAGCAGCTGCGCTTGCTTGAATCAAGACTGGTGACCTGTCAGATATTGAAGGCGAGGACTGGTTTAGACATGCAGTGTCTCATCAGCAGCCGCGCTTGCTTGAATCAAGACTGGTGACCTGTCAGATATTGAAGGCAAGGACTGGTTTAGACATGCAGTGTCTCATCAGCAGTCCCGCTTGCTTGAATCAAGACTGGTGACCTGTCAGATATTGAAGGCAAGGACTGGTTTAGACATGCAGTGTCTCATCAGCAGTCCCGCTTGCTTGAATCAAGACTGGTGACCTGTCAGATATTGTAGGCAAGGTGGTTTAGACATGCAGTGTCTCATCAGCAGTCCCGCTTGCTTGAATCAAGACTGGTGACCTGTCAGATATTGAAGGCAAGGACTGGTTTAGACATGCAGTGTCTCATCAGCAGTTGCGCTTGCTTGAATCAAGACTGGTGACCTGTCAGATATTGAAGGCAAGGACTGGTTTAGACATGCAGTGTCTCATCAGCAGTCCCGCTTGCTTGAATCAAGACTGGTGACCTGTCAGATATTGTAGGCAAGGTGGTTTAGACATGCAGTGTCTCATCAGCAGCCGCGCTTGCTTGAATCAAGACTGGTGACCTGTCAGATATTGAAGGCAGGGACTGGTTTAGACATGCAGTGTCTCATCAGCAGCCGCGCAAGACTGGTGACCTGTCAGATATTGTAGGCAGGGACTGGTTTAGACATGCAGTGTCTCATCAGCAGCCGCGCTTGCTTGAATCAAGACTGGTGACCTGTCAGATATTGTAGGCAGGGACTGGTTTAGACATGCAGTGTCTCATCAGCAGCCGCGCTTTCTCAAATTAAGTCTGGTGAGCGTCCAGAACGCTCACAATTATTATTGTTGTTGTGTTGTGTACGACATCGTTTTGTGTTTCACTTTAACTTGGCTGAAACACGAGTGGTGCCCTTGTCACAAACCTGCCACTCGCAGCGCCACACGCTGGCACACGCCGGTAGGTGCGTGCCAGCGCCACACGCTGGCACACGCCGGTAGGTGCTGCCCGCTGGCAGCACTGGGCCCCGGCAACTTGTGCAGGCTGCAGCAGAGGGGGGCGGGAGCGGAATCTTCGTCTCTGCTTATCCACGGCGACAAAAACATGAAAAGTGAATTGGTGCGCGTGATGGTGGTGGTGGTGGGTGCGGTGGACTGTTCTGAGATTCACTTTCGCCCTTTCGTGCCCCTGAGCGGTGGCAGGGCGGTGGCAACGCGCCCTGCCCTGCCCCCCGCACGGATTCGTGGTTCCACACCTGCCTCGGTTGTTCTCGGTCCGTGCGAGATCGAGTTGCTGCGCGGTTGGTTGCGGTGTGGGTTGTGGTGTGGGTTGGTTGCGTGGTTGATTGCGGTGTGGGTTGCGGTGTGTGTTGGTTGCGGTGTTGGTTGGTTGCGGTGTTGGTTGGTTGCGGTGTTGGTGGGTTGTGGTGTGGGTTGGTTGCGGTGTTGGTGGGTTGCGGTGTGGGTCGCATGTTGGGTTGCATGGTTAGTTGCGGTGTTGGTTGCGGTGTAGGTTGCGGTGTGGGTTGTGGTGTTGGTAGGTTGCATGGTTAGTTGTGGTGTTGGTTGTGGTGTGGGCTGCATGGTGGGTTGCATGGTTAGTTGTGGTGTTGGTTGTGGTGTGGGCTGCGGTGTTGGTAGGTTGCATGGTTAGTTGTGGTGTTGGTTGCGGTGTGGGCTCCATGGTGGGTTGCATGGTTAGTTGCGGTGTTGGTTGTGGTGTGGGCTGCGGTGTTTGTAGGTTGCATGGTTAGTTGTGGTGTGGGTTGTGGTGTGGGTTGCGGTGTTGGTGGGTTGCATGGTTAGTTGTGGTGTGGGTTGCCCAGCTGATTGCTTACTCATTCGTCTCCTCGGTATTTTCCAGCTCCGCTTGCTCAGTTCATCCGTTGGTCGATCGCTCGGTCATTTGCTCAGTAGATTGCTCAGCTTGAGTGCTCGCTTGCTTGAATGTTCCCCGTTTTTGGTTCCCCGCTTTGATTGCTGCTTATTCGGTTGCTATGGCAGCGGAAAGTTTGCGTCAAAAACTACCTGACGAACCCTGCCTTGCGCGAGTCCCAGGCACAGCTGTCCCGGCTGTCGGTACCTGATAAGGGCCCCTCCCAGGGTCACGCGGTCCTCTCACTGCCTTGCGAGTGTCTCGGGAAGAGTCGATGGCTACTCAGGGAGTGAACCCCCTACATGAAACCAGGAGTGGGCGGTTTTGCGACGCACAGCGCCGCATCCGCTGCAGCCCCTGCAGCCAAACTGGTACCAAACGTCGTGCGGCGAACTCATTTGGACCTCACCGGCAAGGCCGAGGGGGGCGGGGGTGGGTGGGATCCTGACGCATTGGCAACCCAGGATTTCCAGAGAGTAAACCTGCTCGGGCTTTGCGTCCAAACAAGAGGTGCAAGAATGGGGGAGAGAGAGAGAGAGGGGTGGGGGGGGGGGAGGGGACACTCCTCCTCGGCCACCCGATCGTGGCCAAGAAGCACGTGGACTGGTGGCAGTCGCGGGGTCATAAGCTCCATTTTGGATTGGCGTGAAAAAAAAATGGACGCCGCGTGTTGCCGTCGCCGGTGGGAAGGCGGTGATTGTACCCCCAATGGAGACGGCTACCGCCACCCGCCTCCCGCCTCGAGCTGGGCAGCCCCCCCCCCCCCCCCCCCGGCCAATGAGGTGCTTTCCCGCCACGGAGCGTATGGTTCATCACCAGACAAGGGGGCTGCTGCAACACCTACACACGCACGAAAGCAAAGAAGGGACCAGCCCTTCACTTTGTGCTCCATTCAGCTGCTCGATTTTATTTTTCAGTTGAAAGCTCAAATCGGTTGCTTCCGCGTTTGCTCCCTCGCTTGGTTTGGTTGCTTACTCATTCAGTTGCTCACGTTATCCCTTGCTCGGTTGTTTCCTCAGTTGCTCGCTCGCTCGCTCTATCGGTTTCCCCGTCGCTCGATCTGCCGGTTGCTCTCCCAAATCGTTAGCTCGGTTGCTCCGTCGATGCTCCATTCCTCAATCTGCCAGTTGCTCACCCGGTTGCTCTGTCTGTTGCTCGGTTGCTCGATCTTGCTGTGGATGCTCGATCTGCCGTTTTGCTTACTCGATTTGGATGCCCTGTCGATTACTCCGTGACCTCGACCTTCCGGTTTTGCTCGGAGTCTCGCTCACTCGGTTGCTTGATCTTCTCTGTTACTCGGTCGGTAGCTCGCTCGGTTGCTCGCTCGGTTGCTCGCTGGCTGCGCTCATCTCTGCTGAACGCTGTCGTTCCTCCTCCCCCCTCTTCTTGGCTTCCACCCCCACCCCCGCCCCCGCCCGCTGCTTGTAGGTAGAGGCCCCCACCTGTGCCAGGGAGTTGCTCATGCGATTGCACGCTAAGTCTATCCTAATGCGCCTACCACGGATGGACCAAGACCCGGTAGGGCTGCGTGAATGTGGGGGGGAGGGCACTCACCACCCCCCTGCCCCCCCCGCCCCCCCCACCCAAATCCATTGCCCCCTCTCCACCAATCTTCGTTTCGCCAGCACCCCCCCCCCCCCCCTCTCCTCCCCTGCCATCGCCCGACTCATCTCGCTGTCGTTTTTTAATTTTCTTTGGCCGCTTTGTTGCCGGGGGTTCGCGGGTTCCAATCCAGCAGGCCGCCCCGGTCAATACTTGGCTGTTGTTGGCGCGCTGCTGTAACCCGCGGAGTCATTTCAAACGAGTAGGCCATCGTGTCGCGGCGTCAGGCCCCACGTCGGGCCACATTAGAAGACTCGCTCTGGATTACTCACAGCGGCAGCACTCATGGGGCCGCCCACTGCTGCCAAACTGACGCATAGGGACAGCTGCCACTGGGGGTGCCCTGGGTTAGACCCACGTAGCAATATCGGCCGCTCCCTACTGGTAGACTGACGCGTAGGGACAGCTGCCACTGGGGATGCCCTTTCTATTACGTGGAGATGAGATGCGGCGTACGTGGCTCATCGCACGCATCGGAAACAAATTGTCACGTGTGATTTTTTTTTTTGAAGTGGCTGTTGAATAAATAAAGTGGTCACGTTTGCGGCATTGCTGGAATGTAATGCAGGCCACCCCGAGGCTCGCGATGCAAGCGTCGGAGAGCGTGCGAAAAGAGATTGGCATTTTTAGCGCGCTTCTGTTGTGTCTGCGATGGATTAGGGCCACCCCGGCAGCCAATAGCGTGGTTGCGAGCTCTCGCCCGAATTCCAACAGCAGCCCCTCAATCGGGCGACGATTTTAATCGGCGCACGGCGCACGAATCATCCCCACCCCTGGGTTGTTGCGTTTACAAATCTCTTCCTGGCTACCACCGTCTGCTGCGATTGGATGTAACCCGCCTTTTATTTCAACGTAACTCTCTCGCTCGTATGCGTTTCGAAAACGCATTCACGTGAGTGCGTATTTATATATTCCGAATGGCCGTTATCGGTGGATATTATCACGGTTTTTTTTTTCATCTGCCCAAATCCATTTTACATTTTGATGTTTCCAACCGGACCCCTCGTATCGAAAGTAAAAACGTCACTCGTGTACGGGCGGTCGACCGCGCGGGGTTCGACGCTGCCGGTCCTCATCGGTGGTGACGGCTCCATCGACCGTGGCCAGTCACGAGCTTCGCTTTGTGTGCCGCCAACGCTCGGCGTCACCCGCCTGCCCGCCTGCCCCCTGCATGATTCCACCACTCTCTGCTGCCCTTCTCACCCACCCCAACACCGTGGCCCATTTCAATTCAGAAATTCAGCCGCCGTTTGATCTGCCCAAGGTGACTGTCTCGGCAGGATAGGGGCAGGGATGTCCGAGATGCTGAGAATTTTGTTTCCAGGTTTTGTCAGCGCTCAGAATCCTCGATTCTAATCCAGGTTTGTGGCCACGCTCAGAATCCTGGATTCAAATCCGGGTTTTGGTAGCGCTCAGAATCCTGGATTCTAATCCAGGTTTTAGTAGCGCTCAGAATCCTGGATTCTAATCCAGGTTTTGGTAGCGCTCAGAATCCTGGATTCTAATCCAGGTTTGTGGCCACGCTCAGAATCCTGGATTCTAATCCGGGTTTTGGTAGCGCTCAGAATCCTGGATTCCAACCCGGGTTTTGGTAGCGCTCAGAATCCTGGATTCCAATCCGGATTTTCGCCTCCCAATCACGATGATCACACCGAATCCAGCGGCCGTAACACCTCGCGTGCCCATCCACTCACAGCGGACTTTAAAGATGCCCCTGACGTCATTCGCAAAAACGAGTTGGCCATCGCACGCCGTTCGTGTCGGGTTCCAAATTTGCTAAATTCCCAAATCTCCACCGCCAGCGATTCGACTGGGGTCACGCACTCGCCTGATGTGCCCGCTCACAGGGCCAGGTGCCGAGTCTCTGCTTGTGCCACTGCACAGCTGACACTGGGGGTGCCCCCACGATGGTGTTGCGATGCAAAGGCGGGGCACGGGCGACTTCTCATACGCTGCTGTGCATCCCTGTGTGGCTTTCTCCGTCGCTCGCTTTGGTGCTGCGTGCTGTGTGTGTACTGTGTGCTATGTGTGTACTGTGTGTGCGTGAGTAGTGTATCTGTGTGTACTTTGTGTTGTGTGTGCGCTGTCTGTGTGCGTGAGTGGTGTATCTGTGTGTACTGTGTGTGTGTACTGTGTACTGTGTGTTGTGTGTGTGCTGTGTCTGTGTGTACTGTGTGCTGTGTCTGTGTGTACTGTGTGCTGTGTGTGTGCTGTGTGTGTGCTGTGTGTGTGCTGTCCGTGTGCGTGAGTGGTGTATCTGTGTGTGCTGTGTGCTGTGTGTGTACTGTGTGTGTGCTGTGTCTGTGAGTGGTGTATCTGTGTGTACTGTGTGCTGTGTGTGTGTACTGTGTGTGTGTGTACTGTGTGTACTGTGTGCTGTGTGTGTATTGTGTGTACTGTGTGCTGTGTGTGTATTGTGTGTACTGTGTGCTGTGTGTGTGTACTGTGTGTGTTGTGTGTGCGCTGTCTGTGTGCGTGCTGTGTCTGTGAGTGGTGTATCTGTGTGTACCGAGTGCTGTGTGTACTGTGTGCTGTGTCTGTGTGTGCGCTGTCTGTGTGCGTAAGTAGTGTATCTGTGTGTACTGTGTGTGTGTTGTGTGTGCGCTGTGTGCGTGAGTGGTGTATCTGTGTGTACTGTGTGTGTATTGTGTGTGCGCTGTCTGTGTGTGAGTGGTGTATCTGTGTGTACTGTGTGCTGTGTCTGTGTGTGCGCTGTGTCTGTGTGTGTATTGTGTGTGCGTGAGTGGTGTATCTGTGTGTATCTGTGTGTACCGAGTGCTGTGTATGTACTGTGTGCTGTGTGTGTGCTGTCTGTGTGCTGTGTCTGTGGTGTATCTGTGTGTATCGAGTGCTGTGTGTGTACTGTGTGCTGTCTGTGTGTGTATTGTGTGTGCTGTGTCTGTGAGTGGTGTATCTGTGTGTGTGCTGTGTCTGTGCTGTGTCTGTGAGTGGTGTATCTTTGTGTACTGTGTGTGTGCTGTGTCTGTGGGTGGTGTGTCTGTATGTACCGAGTGCTGTGTGTACTGTGTGCTGTGTCTGTGAGTGTATTGTGTGTGTGCTGTGTCTGTGAGTGGTGTATCTTTGTATACTGTGTGTGCGTGTGTTTGTGGTGTGCGTGTGTGTTGGTGTAGTGTGTGGTGTGTGTGTGTGTGGTGTGTGTGTGGTGTGTGTGTGTTTGGTGTGTGTGTGGTGTGTGTGTGTGTGTCGTCTGTACTTGCATGGTCGTCGAAATCCATCTGAACATCGCCTTCGACGTGGCCGTGCGGACGGCAGTACAGCAATGGATTCTCGAATCCATCTGTGCGGAGCTTTGCGTGTAACCCCCCCACCCCCAAATCTCTCGTATACAGCGCGGTACTACATGAATTGGCCATAACGTCCCAATGTGGGCATCGCCCTCCTGCTGAAGGAGTCTTGAGACTCGCTCGGACCTTTTCTCTCGAGTTGACGAGCGTGCATGGGCTGCTTCTCTCGCGACCCAGTCCACGGGGGACGTCGCTCTGCGCCCGGCGTGTTCGCGTGTTTTTAACCCGGCAAGTCTCATCCGGAGCCCCGGGTGTCGTCGGCTTGCCGCCGGGCGTTGCTGGCGTGGCATTTTAATGCCGCGTGCCCACGGTTCATTGGGTCACGCGGCGTGGGCCACGTGCCGTGCAACGCGTAGCACGTGTAATCGTCAGTGCCATGTGGCAATGTGCCATATGTGCTATGTGGCAATGTGGCACGTGGCACGTGCCATATGTACCATGTGGCACGTGCCATATGTACCATGTGGCACGTCCCATATGTACCATGTGGCACGTGACATATGTGCCATGTGGCACGTGCCATATGTGCCATGTGGCACGTGACATATGTGCCATGTGGCACGTGACATATATGTGGCACATGGGCCACATATATGGCATGTGGCACGTGCCACGTGTGCCACATATGTGGCCCATGGGCCACGTGATCCTAGTGGGCCACGTGACAAAGATCTAAATTTGACACTTCGTCAACAACACCGTGGCCTTGAAATGGAAAGAAAAGTACATAACGTGCGACGTTTCGGGCAACGACCCTTGTTCAGAGACGACGTCGACTGTGACATGCTCCGTTAAGGCAGTGCCTGTCCCCTCTGGGGGCCACGCACGGCTGTCGTTGTTGGTGTTGCCGCCGCCGTTGACGAACGCCTCGCCCAAGTGTCTTTGTCGTTCGTCTGCACTTCGTGCACCGCCGCTGCCACCGCCCCCCCCCCCCCCCCCCCGTCGAACCCTCTGCTCCGTGCGAGGCGCCATGGACTACGTTACGAACGCACGCACGCGGAACTTCTTTCTTGGTAGTCGTGCGTCAGCCAATCGTAGCTCATCGGCACGTGTTCGCTTCGCGAGCCCGTCACGTGGCTGAGGCATCCTTTAGGCGGGCGATGGGATCTCTCCGGCGGTGATCACTCGGCACGAAAGAATCCCCACGCAATCCCCTTTTGCGATTTACTTTATCTGTTCACGTTCGGGTTTAGCCGGGGGGGGGGGGCGAGTGGTTATCGCGTCGTCGGGGCAGAGGCGGGGGGGGGGAGGGGCGCGGGGTCCGTTGAGTCTCAACCTCCCGGCAACCGTTCGGCAATCGCGATTCTCCGTGGCTCGCTTTGCCAAACCGACCGCGCCAAACCGCCACCAACTCCTTTGCCGCTACGGCCGATGTTCACCGAGCGGCCGACGGCCCCGGCGGGGGAGTTGTGGCGCCCGTTGGGACGAACCGTCTCTCTGGCTGGTTCGTGTGGTCAGGGTCAGGGTCAGCCTGGTTCGTGTGCTCAGGGTCTGGGCTATGACTCTAATCTCAAGGCAGTTGAGGACTCCTCGAGGAATGGTTTACCTGCCCGAATGAGTCCACCTCTCACTCTCCACCCCCCCCCCCCCCCCCCCACACTGCAGGCGAAGACCCATGGACAGGCGTTTGTGCGGATCCACGCGCCCTGGAACGTGCTGGCGCGAGAAGCGGAATTCCTCAAGATCAAAATGCCCACCAAGAAGGTGCGTGTGTGCGCGTAGGTCGACTCAGCCTCGAATGAGTACCTGGTGCGGTGTAAACATCGCCACTTGGGAGACAAAGGCGGCCGGGCGTGGTGCTGGCCAGCCATCCCCTCGTGTGCCACAGTGCCGGCCTTCATCGGTGCTCGCCAACAGCACTTGCCCCAACAGTCGGTGAAGGCTATACAGGGGGTCTTTGTCTTTGTATATTGGGAGGGTGGTGGAGTTCCAGTACCTGGGCAGTGGACTCATGGCCAGCTCCGGTTTGGCAGCAGAGGTCTCACTCCAAATCAGTCGAGCGGCATTATCTTTTCATCGGTTGCGTAACGCTGTGTGGAAGCAACCTGGTCTGTCGCTCCGCACTGAGCTTCAGGTCTTCTCGGCCACGGTCATTCCCTCCCTTCTCTACGCTTGCGAAACGTGGACCCCCCTAATCGGCTGCGTAACGCTGCTGTGGTGAAGCTACCTGCTGGCCTGTCGCTCCACACGAAGCTCTGGGATCTTCTCGACCTTCTGTCTGCTTGTGAAACGTGGACCCCTTTTAAAGGAACATCTTCCTTCGCTTGAAACATAGAGGCCGGGTCTCAGAGAACCTCACAGTGAAGCTCTCCATGCCATTTTAACTAAACTGTTTAGACAATTAAATTTCGATTTAAAGCTTTCGTGACTGCAGGGATTCATCTTCTGGGTTCTTTTGGTAAAGTCACGTAGAATGGAGATAAAATAATAAAAATAATAACAGAATAAAATTCTCACGACGTTTCGGCCACAACACAAGGAGGAAGGCTACTTGTGTTGTGGCCGAAACGCCGTGAGAATTTTATTCTGTTATTATTATTTTTATTATTTTATCTCCATTCTACGTGACTTTACCGAAAGAACCCAGAAGATGTTTAGACAAATTGTTTTTATTTTACCAGGTAAGGCCCCACTGAGCTATTTAGCTCTTTTTCAGAAGTTACCAGGCCATCACAGTTGATAGCTCAACGAAGTGGCTCATCATTATCATCACGTGGAAATGTACAACAGCCAAATACTTGAAACGCGTGACGTTGATTCTAAATGTGGAAGGAAAAACCGGAGGAGCCGGAGAAAAATCCACGCGACCACGGGGAGAGAGAGACACGCAAACTCCAAATATACAGCAGCAGGTGTCAGGGTCGGGATGGAACCCACGACCTTCTGCATACCAGGCGAGGGAGTTAACATCTCCTCGCCACGGTGGCGACTATCCAGTGGCCCCTCTTCATCGATTGCCCTGACGCAAGCCCGGCAGTAGACGGCCGTCAGCCGCCATCCCCGGCCCTCTCAGCTCCCACCCCGGGCGTCCGCCACGGTTCGCGCCAGGGTGGTGATGGTGTCTTCGGTGTTTGAGGTTCCGTGCGCATGCTTCAGGTGTCTTCGAGTGACCTCGATGGCGCATGTGGCTCCCCCGTGGGGCCAGGCAGCAGCCGGTGTGTTGGGTGACCTCATGGATCGTCAGCACCCAGCAACCCACCCACTCACTCACCCGGCCAGCCAGCCAGACAGCCACCCACCCACCCAGCCAACCCACCCACCGAGCCAACCACCTCGCCACTCACCCAGCAACCCACTCACCCAGCAACCCACCCACCCAGCTACCCAGCCACTCACCCAGCCAACCACCTCGCCACTCACCCAGCCACCCACCCAGCCACCCACCCAGCCAGCCAGCCACCCACCCAACCACCCAGCCACTCACCCAGCCACCCACCTAACCACCCAGCCACCTACCCAGCCACCCAACCCACCCCGCCCGAACCACCGTGTGGTGACGCTCACTCTCCAGATCCTGGATCGTGGCCAACACTCGTTAAAGGGTCGTGGACAGCGATCCGGTTACGACGCTGCGCCACGCGCGTGTGCCGGTGTGCCGGCATTACCGCTCCAGTAAATCTGGTTTCGCGTGCACGATTCGTGGTGGAATTTGGTTGACATTCCACTGCCGATCGGGGACGGAGAGAAAGAGATTAGCGGGGTCCGTTCCAGCGGTGCGTGCGTGCAGCGTGCGTCACGGCTGCACGTCCCAATCGCATTGGCACAGGTCATGATCTTTGTTGTTATGTATATATGTGTGTGTGTGTAAAGCGCTAATAGCTCTCATGCAGTGCCACCGACCGTCAATCGTCGCTGTGTCCGCTCGCTGGCCGTTTGGCGTTTTTAAAGCACCGCCTGGAATCCATCCGTGACTGCCGCCCCCGTGACAGCTGCTGCTGCCCGCCCGTGACTTTCTCCAAGTGAATGCCCCTGTGACTGATCGTGACTGCTGCTGCCTGCCCATGTGACTGCACCCCCCCCCCCCCCCCCAGGTGTACGAGATCAAGCCGGCGTCAGGCGTGCTGCACAAGGCAGCGGCCGTGTGGCACAAGGTGACACGCGGCCTGCTGCCCCGCGTGCCCGAGACGCAGAGCAGCCTCGTCAAGCACCTCTCCTTCCCCTTCTCCCGCGAGAAGCAACACATGTGAGTCGCCCGCTCGCTCGCTCCTGTAAGTCGCCCGCTCGCCTGGTCGCTCGCTCGCTCGCTCGCTCCTGCGAGTCGCCCGCCCGCTCGCTTGCTCGCTCCTGCGAGTCACCTGCTCGATTGCTTGCTCACTCACTCGCTCGTGTGAGTCACTCGCTCGCAGGTGAGATGCTCGCTCACTCGCTTGTGAGACCACGGGGACCCTGAGACCACGGGGACCCTGAGACCACAGGGACCCTGAGACCACGGGGACCCCGAGACCACGCGGAGCAGGAGGTCACGGGGATACGCGCGTGTCTAACGAACTCGTCCTTGTCTCTCTGCGTCTCCCCCTCCGCCTTCCTCCCCTGCAGGTTCAACATCACAGACAAGGACACGTTCTTCAACAGCGCCACTCGCAGTCGCATCGTGAGTCAACCCTCCGGCGAGGCGAGGGGGAGGGAGGGAGGGAGGGCTCCATTAATCCTTTAGCTTATCGCCATTTGTACGATGATATTTCTCTTCGCATGGTGACATGTCCCCTCGTGTGTACCATTCCGGCCTTCATAGGTGCCGCTACTCGCGAACAGCACTCGCTCCCAGACAGTCTGCTAAAGGCTACACGGGGGATCTTTGTCTTTGTGTGCCTCTGTGTCCCGTGTGCGGGGAGCGGTAGTGCAGCGGTTAGCGCGACCCAAGTTCGATATCCGCTCACGGCCAACACCGGTGACGATCATCTGAACCGTTCCTGGGCTTCCCCTAGGATCACTCGGCCTCAAATGCGTACCTGGTGAAGTGTGTGGTAAACATCGCCACTGACCACCCACCCCCTCGTTTGCCATGCCACCCATTCATCGGTGTGTCTGGCTAACAGCACTTGCCCTTACAGTCTGTTAAGGCTGTACAGGGGATCTGTGCCTTTGTTAGTAGGTAGAGAGTAATGGTGATATCATTGCCGCTGGTGATGCTGCAGCTTGACTAAACATCACCATCTATTGAAACACAAATTCGCAGCCTAGCAGGCAACCTCCACTTCCTTGTACATGCACGTTTGAAAGCTCTGTTGTTGTGCATACGGTGCGTTGCTGTTGTTATAACGGAAAAGGTGAGTGTGGAGTGTTCGTGAGAGTGGGTGGTAGGTGAGGGAGAGGGAAGACGGTTACTAAGGGAGGTTGCTATGGGTACCTGCGCACACACTTACAAAGACAAAGATCCCCCGTGTAGTCTTCAGACTGTTGGGGGCAAGTGCCGTTAGCGACTAGCAGCGGCTAATGAAGGCCGGCGCTGTGGCACACGAAGGGGTGGGTGGCCAGCACCATGCGCGGCCGCCTTTGTTTCCCCAGTGGCGATATTTACTACACACCGCACCGGGTGCTCGTATGAGGCCTAGTCGACCTAGGTGAGGCCCTGGACCAGTTCAGACAATCGTCACCGGTGTTGGTGGTGGCTGGGAGTGGGAATCGAACTGCCGGGTTCGTAGCGCAGTGTGCTAACCACTGCACCACCGCTCCCCAGACACACAGGGACACGCACGCGCACGCCTGTCCACTCGCCGTGCCTGTGGCAGGGGCAGTCCAGCGCACGAGAAGTGGTCAACACGCTTTGTGTGTAGGAGGCAGGAAAGAAAGAGTCTCAAGGCTCAGGAGGGCGATGTTGCCAAGTCTTATCCCAGTTGAGTTGTGTGTGCGTGTATGAAGTAGGTGTGTGTGTGTGTGGTTGTGTGTCGTTCTGTGTGTGGGGAGTGGCAGTGGTTGGCGCGCAGCCCTACGAACCCGGTTCGTTTCCCGCCCTCGGCCAACACCGGTGATGATTTTCTGAACTGGTCCCGGGCCTCCCCTAGGTCGACTCAGCCTCAAATGAGTCCCTGGTGCGGTGTGTAAACATCGCCACTAGGGAGACAGTCGGCCGGGCGTAGTGTTAGCCACCTACCCCCTCGTGTGCCGTGCCGGCCTTTATAGATGCTCTATAACAGCACTTGCCTCTACAGGCTCTTAAGGCTATACGGGGGGTCTTTGTCTTTGGGGATCGGTGGTGTAGCGGTTAGCGCACTGCGAACCTGGGGACCCGGGTTCGATTCCCGCTCTCGGCCGCTCCAGTGCCGATTTTATGAACCGGTCCTGGGCCTCCCCTTGGTTGACTCAGCCTCAAATGAGCACCTGCTAGGCTATCCGGGGGGATCTTCGTCTTTATTGTGAATGTTTCTACTGGTGTGTGTGTGTACTGTAAGCACCCCACGGGTGCGAGGATGAAAATACCGGGCACATGCAAAGTCTCGTGGGTAGCAGCGAACAGACGCAATGCAGGCCACGTGAGGCCTCCGCCAATGACCATCTCGCGGACGCTAACCAAGGCAGGCGAGTCGAGGAGCGAGACCCCTGAGTGTCGATCAGTGTAGCCGGTGGGCCTTCTCTGGGGTCTCCCCGAGGTGTAGCGGTGGGCGCGAGGTGTAGCGGCGGGCGCGAGGTGTAGCGGCGAGCGCGGGGTGTAGCGGCGGGCGCGAGGTGTGGCGGTGGGCGCAAGGTGTGGCGGTGGGCGCAAGGTGTGGCGGCGGGCACGAGGTGTGGCGGCGGGCGCGAGGTGTAGCGGTGGGCGCGAGGTGTGGCGGTGGGCGCGAGGTGTGGCGGTGGGCATGAGGAGTAGCGGTGGGCGCGAGGTGTGGCGGAGGGCGCGAGGTGTGGCGGCGGGCACGAGGTGTAGCGGCGGGCGCGAGGTGTAGCGGCGGGCGCGAGGTGTAGCGGTGGGCGCGAGGTGTGGCGGTGGGCATGAGGTGTGGCGGCGGGCGCGAGGTGTAGCGGTGGGCGCGAGGTGTGGCGGCGGGCGCGAGGTGTAGCGGCGGGCGCGAGGTGTGGCGGTGGGCGCGAGGTGTGGCGGTGGGCGCGAGGTGTGGCGGTGGGCGCGAGGTGTGGCGGTGGGCGCGAGGTGTGGCGGTGGGCGCGAGGTGTGGCGGTGGGCACGAGGTGTAGCGGTGGGCGTGAGGTGTGGCGGTGGGCGCGAGGTGTGGCGGTGGGCACGAGGTGTAGCGGTGGGCGTGAGGTGTGGCGGTGGGCGCGAGGTGTGGCGGTGGGCGCGAGGAGTAGCGGTGGGCAGCAGCACCCTCCTGGCCAGTTCCTCGCCGTTGGCAAAAGTTCACGGTGGGGGGCAGTGGGGGTGGTGGGGGGGGGCGAGACGAACCGGCGGCAGTAGCGCTAGCGGAGTGACACGGAGGCGGCCGCTTGACGCTGCTCATGTGACGCACGTGCTCGGTGTTTTCCGCGTCCCTGTTTGTTTTGTTTTCATCGGGGGGGGCGGGCCCCTGCGCCCCCCTGCGCCCATACCCCCCCCTCCCTCCCCACTGCTCCCCCCTCCATCTTCCCAACCACACCCCAATTAGCGCAGATAATTGGGCGTTGACTGCACCACAGTTTAGTTGTGGCTTTGAATATCGCCATGGCGTCTCTCCCCCCCACCCCTCTTCTTCCTCCTCCTCCCCTCTGACATCCCCTCCCCCCGCCCCCCGCACCCCGCCCCCCACGCCTCCCCCCAACCAATCAGGTGCACGAGATTCTCAAGAGGACCACGTGCAACAAGGCCAAGTACAGCATGGGTGAGTGCCCGAACCGTCTATCCCCTCTGTTCATTCAGCTGGGGGGGGGGGGGGTAGTGGTGGGGGGGTGGTGGTGGGGTGGTGGTGGGGTGGTTGGGGTGGTGGGGGGGTGGTGGGGGGGGTGGTGGGGGGGGTGGTGGGGGTGGTGGGGGGGTCTTCGTTGACGCTGTTACTTGCTAACAGCACTTGCTCCAACTGTCTGTTGAAGGCTATACGGGGGATCTGTCTTTGTTGTGATGCGCATGGTGTGATGCGATTGTCCACGTGTGTGCTGTGTTATTATTATTATAGCAAGGCTGCATTGGCTGGGCCATGTAGCCCACATGCCCAGCCACCGCATGCCTAAACAGCTTTTGTTTGGCTGCTTAGAGGGGGTTAAACGGGCGCGGCACGGGCTAGAGAAGAGATGGAGTGATGTGGTACAGGAGGACGTGGAGCTGAGTGGACTTGCCGATGACTGGTACCAGCGGTGTCAAGATCGGCCTCTGTGGAGGAGGAGGCTTGTGAAGGACGCTACTGGGCAGTTGGAGGCAGTCGCCCTCCAACAACAACGGAGGGCGGAGGAGCGACGCTCACAACAACGAGCGGAGCGCCGGGTGGCTAAAGCACAGCAAGTTGCCACAGTAGGGGGGGGGGTACAGGTGGTGCATCAGCCGCTTATCTCTGTCAGTCGACCCGTGGCACCTGCTGGGTCTGCCGCTTGAACTGCTGCCAGCTGGGCGTTCGACACTTCACGTGGCCTGCACCTAGCCTGGCACAAGCGCCGTGGTGACGTCACCACCACTTAGTGGCGAATGGCGGTTGTTGTTGTCGTCGTTGTTGTATGACACAATACACGTGTTGTTGTCGTTGTTGTATGACACAATACACGTGTTGTTGTATGACACAATACACGTGTTGTTGTTGTATGACACAATACACGTGTTGTTGTTGTATGACACAATACACGTGTTGTTGTTGTATGACACAATACACGTGTTGTTGTTGTATGACACAATACACGTGTTGTTGTTGTTGTTGTTGTATGACACAATACACGTGTTGTTGTTGTTGTTGTATGACACAATACACGTGTTGTTGTCGCGCCCGCGTGTCGTGACGTACGTCACGCCGTACGAGACGTGGTACGACGCGTGACGCCGTCCGCGTGTTAATGTTTGTCCGAGTGTCGTGACGCTCCCTTCGCCGTCGCCCGCAGGCGTCAACAGCCTGCTGGCGAATGACGTGTACGACGCTGCCTACCCCCTGCACGACGTGAGTCTGACACGACACGGAGATCGCGGAGAGCCACAGGGGGGGAGGGGACGACTCGGAGGGTGGGGTGGGAGGAGGGGGGTGGGGAGGTGGGAGGAGGGGTGGGGAGGTGGGGAGGGGTGGGAGGGGTGGGGGGGAGGTGGGTAGGTGGGAGGGGTGGGGGTGGAGGTGGGAGGGGGGGGTGGGAGGGGTAGGGGTGGAGGTGGGAGGGGAGGTGGGTGGGTGGGAGGGGTGGGGGTGGTGAGGTGGGAGGGGTGGGGGGGAGGTGGGAGGGGTGGGGGGAGGTGGGTGGGTGGGAGGGGTGGGGGTGGAGGTGGAAGGGGGGTGGGAGGGGTGGGGGTGGGAGGGGGGTGGGAGGGGTGGGGGTGGAGGTGGGAGGGGTGTTGGGGCAGTGTGGGGTGGGGGCCGTGTGGGGTGGGAGGGGTGAGGGGTGGGAGAGGTGGGGGGGGAGGCAGTGTGGGGTGGGTGGGAGGGGTGGGGGGAGAGGTGGGAGGGGTGGGAGTGGGAGGGGTGTTGGGGCAGTGTGGGGTGGGAGGGGTGGGAGAGGTGGGGGGGAAGTGGGAGAGGTGGGGGAGAGGTGGGAGGGGTGGGGGTCACAACGTGAGGTCATAGAGGTCCATCTCTCGACCTTCGACCTCCGTGTCCGTCAGCCCCATGATTCTGCTTCGAAGCTGCTCCATCTCCGCTTGGCGGCTGTGCTCGTGGTTTTCAGGGCGATGAACACGACGACGAAGGCCTGGAGTCCAACGATCGTAAGGTGAGCGTGGCTCTGCATCGCACTTTCGCCTATATAGAAGGAAGAAAAAAGATGGACATATACTTTCAAGCGCTGAGGATAGTTTGTCTGCAATCGGAGCAAAGAGAGCCAGACGGAGATCAGAGACAGAGACAAAGCTAAATGCGCTATAGAAGATTATTGCACCCAAAAAAAATCGATCCGAAATAAATAAATGTTCTGCAACAAAAGTCGCCTCGGACGATGACTCCCTGAAAGCCATTCACCGTACAGTTCCGCCTCCTGGCACTCCAGTGGTAGTGCCTTATGCCGCCAACAGTGGGGTGTAGTGCCATATGGAACGGATGGAGATTAGTCTCCCTCCCTCCCTCCCCTCCCTCCCTCCCCTCCCTCCCTCCCCCTACTCCCCACCCCCTCCCTCGCTCCCTCCCCTCCCTCCTACCTGCAGAGCAGCCCAGACTGCTGCTCTGATGCATTAGCCCTAAGCCTGAACCCCAGCATGGCCGATCATTATTCCACTCGCAATACAGGGCACTGACTCGTCTATCGGTGTGGCTATAATGGCAGTTCGCGTGCACGCGTGTGTGTGTGTGTCTGTGTGTGTGTGCGTGTGTGTGTGTCTGTGTGTGTGTGCGTGTGTGTGTGTCTGTGTGTGTGTGCGTGTGTGTGTGTCTGTGTGTGTGTGCGTGTGTGTGTGTCTGTGTGTGTGCGTGTGTGTGTGTGTGTGTGTGTGTGTGTGTGCGTGTGTGTGTGTGTCTGCGTGTGTGTGTGTCTGCGTGTGTGTGTGTGTGTCTGCGTGTGTCTGCGTGTGTGTCTGCGTGTGTGTGTATGTCTGCGCGCGTGTGTCTGCGTGTGTGTGTGTCTGCGTGTGTGTGTGTCTGCGTGTGTGTGTGTGTCTGCATGTGTGTGTGTTTCTGCGCGTGTGTGTGTGTGTCTGGCGCGTGTGTGTGTGTGTCTGCGTGTGTGTGTGTCTGCGTGTGTGTGTGTATGTCTGTGTGTGTGTATGTCTGCGCGCGCGTGTGTGTGTATGTCTGCGCACTGCACTACGAACTTGGCCACCCGGGTTCGGTTCTCACTCACGGCCAACACCGGTGAGGATTATCTGAACCGGTCCTGGGCCTCCGCTAGGTCGACTCCGCCTCACTTGTGCAGTGGTGTAATGAACACCGCCACTAGGGAGACAAAGGCGGCCGGGCGTGGTGCTGGCCACCCACCCCCTCGTTCGCTGTGCCGGCCTTCATAGGGTGATACTCGCTGAAAGGAACTTTCCCCAGCTGCCTGTTAAAGGCTATACGGGGGGGACCTTTGTCATTGTGTGTGTGTGTGCGCGCGTGTGCACACACGGGCGTTTGGTGTTGAGGTTTTCCACCGCTGTTCCCCTCCGGCAGCTGCTGCACAGTGAATGGGCGAGCTACGGAGTCTTCTACAAGTACCAGCCCATCGAGCTCATCAGGTGAGACCGGTACACGCACACAGACAAAGGTCCACCACTACCCCGTGTAGCCCGCGTGGGACGGGGCGGTGTGAGCGCAACGGATGCGTGGCCGGGTCACGCCCGCACGTCTTTGTCTTTCCCCCAGCGCCGATGTTTATTACCACGCCGCACCGGGTGCTCGTTTGAGGCCGAGTGGATCTGGGGGGAAGCCCAGCGACCCGTTCGGATGTCCGTCCACCGGTTGCGGGGATTTTTGAACCCCGGCCCGACGGGGTCCGGGAGTGTGCGGTGCGCTAACCGCTGCACCGCCGCTCCCTTCGCAGAGGCACGGACAGTCACCGAGACGTTCACTGGGGTAGTAAAAAAAAAATGGGTTTTTAGTTAACCGGGATAACTGGTAACCGGTATAAACCGGTTGCGGGATTGCGACCAGTTAATGAGCATTGATGCACGCGGGAGGAACCCGGAGCACCCGGAGACACCCCACGGTTGTGCGAGGGGGGACGCTCTATCCCCGCACAAATGGAACAGATGGAGACTAGTCCACACTTTTGCTGTAGCGCCTTCTCGTGGCAGAGCCAGGGGTGGTACAGCTCCTCCTCGATGCCACCCACGGGTAGAGGAGGGAGTTCCACAGTCCATCTGTGAGTGGTCCACCAACCCTCGCTGGCTGCCTTCACAGTGCTGGATCACGGGCTGCCACGTGCAGCAGCAGCAGCAGCAGTGTAGTGTCCACCATCATCATCATCATCACCCCCGCCATCATCATCATCACCCCTGCCATCATCATCACCCCCGCCATCATCATCATCACCCCCACCACCATCATATCATTACCACCACCCCCACTGCCATCCGCTCACGACTAATGAAGAGCAACAGCAACAGCAGCAGCGTAGCCAATTAACGAGTTTTAATAACCACGCACGCAGGCACGTGGACTTCTTCCGCACCGTGCGTAGCCAACCGTGCTAATCGTAGGCGCGGGGGAAGGACGACAACCACGATAACCCATCTTCCACGCCTGCCCCCCATCCCCTCCCGCCGCCCATCCCCGACTCAGGAAGTACTTTGGGGAGAAGATTGGGCTGTACTTTGCGTGGCTCGGGGTCTACACGGAGCTGCTCATCCCGGCGTCGCTCATCGGCGTCATCGTCTTCCTGTACGGGTGCGCCACCATCGACGAGAACATTCCCAGGTGGCTGACGCATCCCGTGCGGCGGATGCGTTCGGGTGGAACGAGCGCAACTGAATCGGTCGAGCGGCATTACCTTTTCCCCGACGGTCCGTCGAGGCTACGCGGGGGATCTTTGCCTTTGTACAGCGGCGTGCGTGCGTGCGTGTCGCTCCCCCTTCCCCCCGGCAGCATGGAGATGTGTGACGACCGCAATAATTTCACGATGTGCCCCCTGTGCGACCGTGCCTGCAACTACTGGCGCCTGAGCACCGTGTGTGGCACTGCACGAGCCAGCCACCTCTTCGACAACCCCGCCACTGTCTTCTATGCCATCTTCATGGCGCTGTGGGGTACGTGGTGGGTGGGTGGGTTGGGTGCGCGAGCGGGTTAGTAGATGAATAGGTTCGTGGGTGTGTGGCTGGATGGGTCTGTGAGCGAGAGCTGGTGGGTGAATAGGTTGGTGGGTGGGTGGGCGGGCGAGCGAGCTGGTGAGTGAATGGGCTCTCGAGTGAGTGTGTGAGTGTACGGGAGTGTGTGGGTCAGACTGATGGGTGTTTGTGTCCACGTGTCTCCCCCCACGTGTGTCTCCCCCCACGTGTCTCTTCCCACGTGTCTCCCCCCACGTGTCTCCCCCCACGTGTCTCCCCCCACGTGTCTCCCCCCACGTGTCTCTCCCCACGCGTCTCTCCCCACGCGTCTCTCCCCACGCGTCTCTCCCCACGCGTCTCTCCCCACGCGTCTCTCCCCACGCGTCTCCCCCCACGCGTCTCCCCCCACGCGTCTCCCCCCACGTGTCTCCCCCCACGTGTCTCCCCCCACGTGTCTCCCCCCCCGTATCTCCCCCCCACGTGTCTCTCTCCCGCGTGCAGCCACCACCTTTCTGGAGCATTGGAAGAGGCGACAGATGAGGCTGGACTACAGCTGGGACCTCACAGGGCTGGAGGACGAGGAGGTAAGGAGACGTGTGGGGAGACACGGGGGGGAGACATTGGGGGGGAGACACCGGGGGGGAGACACCGGGGGGGAGACACCGGGGGGGAGACACCGGGGGGAAGACACCGGGGGGGAGACACCGGGGGGGAGACACCGGGGGGGAGACACCGGGGGGAGTAGACGGGGGGTGGGGGGACGGGTGGGAGACACGGGGGGGGGCATACGAAGACATCGGGAGATGCCGGGTCATGTTGGGAGACACAGGGACACACAGGAAGATGTGGGGATATATGGGCCCACATACGGAGACACAGAGATACAGGGACACAGGGAAACGGGCAGATATGGAGATCCACGGCAAGTTACGGAGACACGCACGGACAAACTCATCGACACCACGCACAGATGCACAGATTCGGTCCAGGCTCAGTCCGGATTCTGTTAAAGACTCTGTTATGGAATCTGTTATGGACTCTGTTATGGACTCTGTTATGGACTCTGTTATGGACTCTGTTATGGACTCATTCCGGGCTCGGCCCGGTCTTTGCCCGGACTCATTCCGGACTCGGTGCAGACTCGCGCTCCGTCACTCTGCCTCCTCCGTTGCTCGGTGTGTGAGCGGCGATCGTTCTGCCAGCCCCCGCCGCGAGGGATCGCTCTATGGCAGGGTGCCGAGCTAGGCGACTTCGAAAGAATGATCCACTTGGATAACGTCATGCATGCACTTACATAATAATACACGCACACACTTACGTAAAGAATACAAAGACAGAGGTCCCCCGTATAGCCTTAACAGGCTGTCGGGGCAAGTGCTGTTAGCGAGCAGCACCTATGAAGGCTGGCACAGTACAGGAGGGAGGTGGGTGCCCAGCACCACGCCCGGCCGCCTTTGTCTCCCCAGTGGCAAAGTTCATACACTGCACCAGGTACTCATTTGTGGCCGAGTCGCCGTAGGGGAGGCCCATGACCAGTTCATGTAATCGTCACTGGTTGTTGTGGCCGTGAGCGGGAATCGAACCCGGGTCGCCGGCTTGGTAGTGCAGCGCTGACCGGTGCACCGCCACACCAACACGAGCGCCGTGCGCCACCAAGTGATGGCGACGCCTGTGCCGGGCCCGGTTGCACTTTGAGGCCACGTGAAGTGTCGTAGACTTGCTGGTCACGGGACAGACCCGTGGAGTTGACCGACTGAGATGACTGGCAGATGCACCACCTGTGCCCCCTACCGTGCCACCGCTCCTCGCACGCACGCACATGCACACACACGCCCGCCGGTCACCATCAGCGCTGCGCTCCAGCTGATTGGCCGTGTCGCCGCCGCTGCTGCTGCTGCTTCTGGGAGATGTTTTTGGGTTCCTATCCCTCCTTTCCGTGCTCCGGGGCGTCACTCTCGTTGCCCTGGAGGCTGCCGTAGGTGGCGGCGGCGGCGGTGCCGTGGGTGTTGCGGTGCCGTAACCTCTGTCTGTCTTTTTTTGCCTCTCGTTTCCTGCTGCACCCGGCTGCTACAGGAGTTGGTCAAGGTTTGTCTCTCTCTCTCTCTCCTTGTCTCTCTCTCTGCTTGTCTCTCTCTCGCTCTCCCTACCTCTCCTCTCCCCGCATGCCCCGCTGTGTGTCCCCCGTGTCCCCGTCCCCGTGTCTCCCGTCACCGCGTCACACCACAGCGGCGTGGATGCGGATGCCGACGGCGAACGTGGACGGGGGGGGTTGTTGCGGTTAGGGTTCGGGTCCAATTGGGGCCCCTCCTGCTCAGAGTTGGGAGATGGGCCCAGTCCTGATTCCCTGATTGGCCAAATGACCAAACCCCCCCCAACCCCGCCCCCCCCTCCCCGGCGGCCCCTGGTGGCTTCCCATTGGCTAGGCGTGGGCGTTGGGCCACGTTCACTCCTCGGCCTTGCAATTTGCGGAGTCGCCAGAAGGTTTTCGTTTGCCGGCAAAATAAATTGGTGCCGGGGTGGAGTGAAGTCAAAATCGACGGCTTCCCGGCACGCGAATCTGAAACCAGAAGCGAGCGCCCGGCCGCCCACCGCCAGAATTCCCCGACCCCTCGCGACCGCGATATCCCGGAAGGAAAAATCCGCGTCTGGAAAATGAATCAATGAACTTGGATAAAAGATGACAATGAAGAAGGAAAATATATGCGAGTTAAAAAAAATAAAACATTTATTCAACGAAAATCGAATTTCAAAAAATTATGGATTGAAGAATAATGCCTAACAATAATAATGATCAAGCACTCCTGTTCCAGAGTTTCGGTTTCGTCCAAACGCTCTGGCAAACCCCGGAGCAGCATTCCGGTCTGACCCGGGATACGTTTTGGCTCTCAGCGGCGTTTGGTCATCATCAGGCGCGTGCAGTGCGTGCCGAGTCGATCTGCGCGTCACGGCGAACACGACGAGAACAGACGGCAAACTCTGGCCTAGCCTCGCCCCCAACGCCTCGCCCCCAACGCCTCGCCCCCAACGCCTCACCCCCAACGCCTCGCCCCCAACGCCTCACCTCTCACTGCTCACCCCGCACCGCTCACCCCTCACGGCTCACCCCCAGCCCCTCACCGCTCACCCCTCACGGCTCACCCTAACTCCTCACCGCTCACCGCTCACCCCTCACCACTCACCCCTGACCCCTCACGGCTAGCCATGCGGCCACTCCCCTCCCATGCTCTCACCCCCAGCACGTCACACCTCTCTCTCTCCCTTGTCCACCCACACCCCCCACTCCATGCATGTCTGTGACCCCCCCCCTACACACACACACACGTGTGACACACGCGTGTGCTGTCCGCGTGTGTGTGCAGGACCACCCTCGCCCCGAGTACGAAGCCAAACTCCTCGACAAGAAAATGCAAAGCGACTTCAACAAGCGACAGGAGCAGGTGAGGGACACGCCTCTCACCTCTGGCCGTGACCTCTGGCCGTGACCTCTGGCCGTAACTTCTGGCCGTGACTTCTGGCCGTGACCTCTGGCCTTGACCTCTGTCTGTCACCCTTAGCCATGGGCTATAGCCGCGATCTCTGGTCATAACCTCTAGCCATGACCTCTGCCCGTGACTTCTAACCGTGATCTCTGACTGTGACCTCTAACATGACCTCTAACATGACCTCTAGCTGTGTACTCTAGCCATGACCTCTGCCCGTGACTTCAAGCCGTGATCTCTGGCCGTGACCTCTAACATGACCTCTAGCTGTGTCCTCTGGCCTTGACCTCTAACATCACCTCTAGCTGTGTACTCTAGCCATGACCTCTGCCCGTGACTTCAAGCCGTGATCTCTGGCCGTGACCTCTAACATGACCTCTAGCTGTGTCCTCTGGCCTTGACCTCTAACATGACCTCTAGCTGTGTCCTCTGGCCATGACCTCTGGCCATGACCTCTGACTAACGACCCTCGGAGAGCTAACGGCCATGGAAGTTTGTTCCGTGTCTTGGTGTTGTTTGCGATGCTCGCTGAGCAGTCACTGAGCAGTCGCTGGGGGACCGACCACAGCACACCGCAGGAGCTCGGAGTCCGATCCCGACCCTGACGATGCCCGCTCCGTATTATGAGTCTGCGTGTCTCTCTCCCCGTGCTCACTGCGTGGACTTTGTCTCCGGGTCCTCCGGTTTTTCCCCTCCACATTTAGAATCAACGTCACGCGCTTAGAGAGTTTGGCTTCTGCTGTAAACGTCCACGTGATGATGATGATGATGATAAGCCGTCACTTCGTTGAGGCTGTTATTTGTGATGGCCAGGCCGCTTTTGAAAAAAGAGCTGCAACAGCTCAGTGAGCCTTACCTGGCAAGTAAAAAAAAATAAAGTAAAGCAGGAGCAGCAGCAGCTAGGCCGGCGTGACCAACAATTGCCCGAGCTCTGCGATCCTCTCTCAATATAGTGAGCATTGTTGTCAGCCAATTCGTGAGTGGGTGTAACACGTGCGGGAAGAAAACCGGAGCAGCCGGAGAAAACCCTCGTTTGTGACAGATGGAGATTGGTCCACACACTTTGCTGTTCCGCCTTCCTCCTTCCACCCACGGGTTGGGGAAGGGAGTTCCACAGCCCATCTGCGAGTGATTCACCAACCCTTGCTGCTGCTGCTGCTGCCTCCACAGCAGTGCTAGATCACAGTAGCCACGTGCAGCAGCAGCAGCAGCTTCGTACACACCACCACCAACAACAACCTGATGGCACAATGACACTGGTTGCAGCTTGTATGAAGGTAGTCTGACGTTTTAGGCAATGGCCCTTGACAGGGTAAGGGAGAGGAGAGATGACGGCAGGGAGAGAGATCCGCGATGATGAGCCTCTAGGAACCCCCCCCCCCCCCTTGCGGTGCCTCTTAAATCACGGCGGGAGATCTGTGCGTGTGTGTGTGTCTGTCTGTGTCTGTGTGTGTCTGTGTGTGTGTGTGTCTGTGTGTGTCTGTGTCTGTGTGTGTCTGTGTGTGTCTGTGTGTGTGTCTGTGTCTGTGTGTGTCTGTGTCTGTGTCTGTCTGTGTCTGTGTGTCTGTGTCTGTGTGTCTGTGTGTCTGTGTGTCTGTGTGTGTCTGTGTGTGTGTGTCTGTGTGTGTGTGGGGAGCGGTAGTGTAGCGGTTAGCGCGCTGCGCTACGAACCTGGCGACCCGGGTTCGATTCCCGCTCACGGCCAACACCAGTGACGATTATCTGAGACCGATCCCGGCCTCCCCTAGGTCGACTCAGCCTCAAATGAGTACCTGGTGCGGTGTGTAAACATTGCCACTAGGGAGACAAAGGCGGTCGGGCGTGGTGCTGGCCACCCACCCCCTCGTGTACCGTTCCGGCCTTCATAGGTGCTCGCTAACAGCACTTGCCCCTACAGTCTGTTAAGGCTATATGGGGGATCTTTGATCTTTGTCTGTGTGTGTGTGTCTGTGTGTGTCTGTGTGTGTGTGTCTGTGTGTGTGTGTCTGTGTCTGTGTGTGGTGTTGGCCACAGACCACCCCCGTCGTGCGCCGTGCCGCCCGTCCGTAGCTCACAGCGCTCGCCCCCCTACAGTCTGTTGAGGCTACGCGGGGGATCTTTGTCTTTGTCTTTGTGGTGCGACTTTCACGCTTGTTGCCCCCCATCCCTCCCGTGCTCCCAGAGGGCCCTGGACCAGCCGAGCGTCGTGGCTAATCTGTGGAAGGCTAGGGTGCAGTCGGCCCTGGCCGGGGGAATCCTGGTACTCGCTCGTGGCCGTACCCGTCGCTACCTTCCCCGCCGTGCCCAGTGCCTTCTATTGTGACTGCTTCCTCCTCCTCCTCCTCGTCGTCGGCGGCGGCGGCGGCGGCGTCGATGCCGTTGCTTTCAGAGCCCTTGACCGTTCGTCACCTGATGTTTGTCATCGCCGTCATCCTCATCATCATCGTCATCCTCATCATCATCGTCGTAGTTCATCGTGATAACCGCGGTGGTGAGATGTTAACTCCCTCGCCTGGTATGCGGGAGGTCGTGGCTTCGATCCCGACCCTGACGCCTGCTGCTGCTGCTGCACACTTGGAGTTTGCGTTTCTTCCTCTCTCCCCGTGGTCACTGCGTGGATTTGTCTCCGGGTCGTCCTCCGGTTCGTTTACTTCCATTCGTCATCAACATCGCCGCGCGTTTAGAGAATTGGGCTGCTGCTATACATTTCCACACACACGTGATGGTGATGGGTGACAAGCCGCTCCGTTGAGCTATCGTCTGTGGCCAGGTCGCTTCTGAAAAAAAGCTACGTAGCTCAAAGTCGCGTGATCTTCATCATAGTTTATCGTTACCACTATTACCATGGTCACCATGGTCACCATGGTCACCACCATCATCGTCGTCATCATCGCTGTCATTGCTGCCATCGTCGTCATCATCATTGTCATCGTCGTCATCATCGCTATCATCGTCGTCATCATCGCTGCCACAGTTCTTGTCGGTGTCAATGGCATCATCATCATCATCATACTTGTCAATATCTTCATCATCATCATAATCACCATTGGAGTCATCATTGCCACTTTCGTCATTGACCGTCGTAACTTTAATCATCAACTTGACCATCCGGCCCTGTAAATCAGCGCCGTAATCACCATTGTCATGACGACGATGACGACGATGGCGACGAGGTGGAGCTCTCCGTGCGTGCATGACAGCGGCTGCTGTGTCCACGTCGTCCGTCCGCGCCTCCTCGCTCCCTCCCTCCCGCTCGTTTGTATTGTTCCGTCGCCATTGTTCGTTTGCATCGTTGAGTTCCCTTGGTCCGCCTGAGCGTGACACTGCTGACGAAATGAGCGTATCATTTGCGTATCGTTTGCGTAAAATAAATTGCTTCACGTTTGCATTTGAGTTGCACGTCATTCGGATGAGGAGGGGCGCGGTCGATCTCCCTGTGGCCCGCGTGTACCGCGAGCGCTCACAATTGGTCCCCGTCGTCACATGACCAAGAGGTCAACAGGTCAAGAGGTCGGCCCTCTGAGCCCAGAGGACCCCTCCCTCCCCCCAACCCTCCCACCCAGCCCCGCCCACCCACCCAGCAGCAGTGTGATTGGTTCCACCACGGATCGGGTGATGATTGGCAGGTCACGGGCGATGATTGGCAGGTCACGGGCGATGATTGGCAGGTCACGGGCGATGATTGGCAGGTCACGTGCGTGTGACGGTGGGGTAAAGTGTGGGGATTAAGTCGATGTGTTTTATATTTAACTTTAGAGACCGCGGGTTGAGTCTCGTGTATAAGAAGAGCGGGCGTGGAAGAGTAGGCCAATTAACCCCTCCCCCTCCTCCCACGGTCCCATCCGCCATCTGTGGCGTGGAGCCAGCAATTGCAGGGCTGCGCCTTTGTCTTTTTGTTGTTGTTGCAAGCGTCCACATCGCAGCTGTTCCGCTCGCGTGTTTTGCTGTTGCATGTCACGACCCCCGTGACGACCCCGTGGTGACCCCCTTGACGACCCCGTGGTGACCCCCGTGACGACCCCGTGGTGACCCCCGTGACGACCCCGTGACCCCCGTGACCCCTGGCAGCCACCACAGGCGCTGCCGCAGCACTGACCAACGCCGAGCGGCGACCGGCATGGCTCGCGGCCAATGATCGCGAGCCTCAATAGCGTGTGTGTGTGTGGTGTGTGTGTGTGTGTCTGTGTGTGTGTGTGTCTGTGTGTGTGTGTGTCTGTGTGTGTGTGTGTGGTGTGTGTGCCCGTGTGTGTCTGTGTGTCTGCGCGTCTGTGCGTCTGTGCGTGTGTGTCTGTGCCCGTGTGTGTGTGTGTGTCTGTGCCCGTGTGTGTGTGTGCATCTGCCCGTGTCTGCGTGTGTGTGTCTGCGCGTGCGTGCCTGGCCGTGTGTGTGTGCGTGTGTGTGTGCATGGGTCTGCTTGCCCACGTGTGTGGACAGGACGAGGAGCTGAAGCTGACGTGGAGAGATCGACTTCCCAGCTACGCCATCAACTTCTCCTCTATCCTCTTCATGGTACCCGCCTACTCGTACCCACACACACATACCTATACACAACAACAACCGCCATTCGCCACTAAGTGGCGGTGACATCACCACGACGCTTGTGCCAGGCCATGTGCACCTTGAGGCCATGTGCACCTTGAGGCCACGTGAAGTGTCGAACGCCCGCTGGCAGGATGTCACGGGGCAGACCCAGGTGCCACGGGTCGACTGACTGAGATGACTGGCTGATGGACCACCTGTGCCCCCTACTGTGCCAATTTTCTGTGCTTTAGCCACCCGGCGCTCCGCACGTTGTTGTGAGTGTCGCTCCTCCGCCTCCAACTGCCCATTAGCATACTTCACGAGCCTCCTCCACAGAGGCCGATCTTGACACCGCTGGTACCAGTCATCGGCAAGTCCACTCAGCTCCACGTCCTCCTGTACCACATCACTCCATCTCTTCTCTAACCCATGCTGCGCCCGTTTAACCCCCTCGATCCGGCCGAACAAAAGCTGTTTTGGCATGCGGTGGCTGGGCATGCGGGCTGCATGACCCAGCCAACGCAGCCTTGCCTGCCGGAGGAGCTCACCGATGGGACCTTGCCCAGATCTTTCAAGGATTTGTGAGCTCCTCACACAATCCAACCTGGTTAAACCCAGGATGGAGTGTAGGCAGGCTAGCCTAAATGTTTCTAACCGGCGAAGATGTTCCATTAGGGGGGTCCACGTTTTGCAAGCGTAGAGAAGGGAGGGAATGACCGTGGCCGAGAAGACCTGAAGCTTAGTGCGGAGCGACAGACCAGGTAGCTTCCACACAGCGTTACGCAACCGATGAAAAGATATTTCCACTCGACTGATTCGGAGTGAGACCTCTGCTGTTAAACTGGAACCGGTCATAAGCACACTGCCCAGGTATGGGAAACTCTTCACTCTCTCCACAACTGCCCCATCACCGATTGGGAGTTGTGAGGGTGAAGTGTCCGATGGTACAAAATACCTAGGCAGGTGTTTAGTTTTGGTGGGGCTGATGGTAAGGCCCCCACCTCTTAGTGGCACGCTCCAGTCTCAGCAGCAGCTGTCTCCAACTCCTCCTCTGAATGAGCAGCTATTACCAATCATCGGCATACATAACGTGGTTGAGCAATATGGAGCCATCCCTTGACCGCACCCGGGCATCGATCAGCCTCCCATTATATCTGTACCATATGGAGATTCCCCCGGTACAGCTATTGAAGGCTTCACGAACTACGTGGTCAAAATAGATGTTGAATAATGTGGGAGCCAGAGGACATCCCTGTCGCACCCCAAGGTGTACAGGGAATGGCTGTGACTCCCGGCCACGTAGTTTTACCCGGGCCCGCTCACCATCATGAAGGTCCTTAATGATCGTGAGCAGAGGGTCAGGGACTCCAAGAGCACAAAGAACAACCCAGAGCCCAGGCCTACTGATGGTACCATAGGCCTTGACCAGGTCAATAAAGCAGAGATGTAGGTCTTGCTGGAATTCCCTACACAATTGCTGTAGCAGACGGACAGAAAATAGCACCATACACACACACACACACCTATACACATACACACATACACACACACACACATACCCATACACACACCTACTCACACCTTGCGCTTTGCAGATCGGGCTGATGTCACACACATGTAACGCGCGTATGTGACACGCGCGTGTAACATGCGTGTGACACGCGTGTGCGTGCGCGTTTGCAGATCGGGCTGACGTTTGCGATCGTGTTTGCGCTCATTGTGTACCGCATCTCGGTGTCGGCGGCGCTGGCCGTGAGCACAAACGCGTACCAGCGCGCCAACAACCGCGTCATCGTCACCTCGACCGCCGTCGTCATCAACCTCATCATCATCCTCATCCTGGACGAGATCTATGGCTCCGTGGCACGCTGGCTCACGCAGATCGGTGGGTACGGTGCACCTAGCCTGGCACCCCGGCGTGCGCGCGCGTGTGTGCGTATGGCGTACGTGCACCTAGCCTGGCACCTGCGCGCGTGCCGAGTTGGCAGTGTACTGCGCGTGTGTGAACTTGCCCTGGGCCTCCCCGAGGTAGACCCCAGCCTGAAAATGAGTATTTGGTTCGATATTTAAACATCGTCACTGGGGAGACAAAGGCGGCCGGGCGTGGTGCTGGCCACCCACCCCCTCGTGTGGCACAGTGCTACTCGCTAACAGCACTTGCCCCAACAGTTTGTTAAGGTTATACAGGGGGGGGGGGGGAGCTTTGTCTTTGTGTGTACCTAACCTGGTACACCAGTGCATTGCTCATTCCCTCATTTAATTATCGGTCGTGATCTCTGCCTGTAACACTCACACACACACTCACACTCGCACACTCGCACACACTCGCACACACACTCGCACACACACGCGCACACACACTCACACACACTCACTCACACACACACGCACACACGCACACACACTCACTCACTCACACACACTCACTCACACACACTCACACACTCTCACACTCACACACTCACACACTCTCACACTCACACACACGGACATGCAATTAATACACACACACACATCCACACACTAACGTACACACGCGCACACTCAATAACGCACACACACAGAGGTGCCCAAGACTGACAAGGAGTTTGAGGAGCGATTGATCTTCAAATCGTTTCTGCTCAAGTTCGTCAACTCGTACACCACCATCTTCTACGTCGCCTTCTTCAAGGGGCGGTGAGCGACGCTGCTCCACCCTCCCCTCCCACCTCTTCATCCCTCCCCCACCCTCCCCTCCCACCTCTTCATCCCTCCCACCTCTTCATCCCTTCCCCACCCTCCCCTCCCACCTCTTCGTCCCTCCCCCACCCTCCCCTCCCACCTCTTCATCCCTCCCACCTCTTCATCCCTTCCCCACCCTCCCCTCCCACCTCTTCATCCCTCCCCCCACCCTCCCCTCCCACCTCTTCATCCCTCCCACCTCTTAATCCCTCCCCCACTCTCCCCTCCCACCTCTTCATCCCTCCCCCACCCTCCCCCACCCTCCCCTCCCTCCCTCCCACCCTCCCTCCCTCCCACCCTCCCTCCCTCCCACCCTCCCCTCCCTCCCACCCTCCCCTCCCTCCCTCCCCTCCCTCCCACCTCTACATCCCTCCCCCCTCCTCTCCCTCCCAACGCCACCGTCAACAACGCCTCACGTGGCCTCAGAAGGGAACATGCAGAATAATTATAATAATAATAATTGTTATGATAATTACTATAATGATGATGATGATGAGTAAGAAAATGTTTCTCTCCCTTCCTGGCAATATAACAGGAGGTGTCACATGGGAGACCTTTGGCAAGGCATGAACTCTGCAGTAGCCCCACGTGCGTGTGGTGAAACGTGCAGGGTGGACACGTGGACACGTGGACACGTGAACACGTGGACACGTGGACACGTGGACACGTGAACACGTGGACACGTGGACACGTGAACATGTGGACACGTGAACACGTGGACACGTGAACACGTGGACAAGTGAACACGTGGACACGTGGACACGTGGACACGTGGACACCTGTCACATTGGCAGAAAGGGGTAAAACGTCTAATTATTTGTCATCATCTTTGATACTGGAAAAACGGTCCCATAGCAATAATAATAATAATAATGTCAACTCGTAACACAGTCCATAACAGAGGTTTTTGTTGGGTTAGATCGAGAACATATGAATGTCGTTAAACCCGCGAAAGCCAAATCGTCACACGATGTCCGCTCACTCTCATAGACAGCTCCGGAGATCGCCCCTCCTACAGGGATACGCTTGGCCTACTCCTCCACGCCGTTTAGCGAGTCGTGCTACGAACCCCATCGATCCGAGTACGAATCCCAGCCACGGCTAACGCCAGGGGTGACTGTCTGAGTACGAATCCCAGCCACGGCTAATGCCAGGGGTGACTGTCTGAGTACGAATCCCAGCCACGGCTAGCACCAGGGGTGACTGTCTGAGTACGAATCCCAGCCACGGCTAGCACCAGGGGTGACGGTCTGAGTACGAATCCCAGCCACGGCTAACGCCAGGGGGTGACTGTCTGAGTACGAATCCCAGCCACGGCTAGCACCAGGGGTGACTGTCTGAGTACGAATCCCAGCCACGGCTAGCACCAGGGGTGACTGTGTGAGTACGAATCCCAGCCACGGCTAGCACCAGGGGTGACTGTCTGAGTACGAATCCCAGCCACGGCTAGCACCAGGGGTGACTGTGTGAGTACGAATCCCAGCCACGGCTAGCACCAGGGGTGACTGTGTGAGTACGAATCCCAGCCACGGCTAGCACCAGGGGTGACTGTCTGAGTACGAATCCCAGCCACGGCTAGCACCAGGGGTGACTGTCTGAGTACGAATCCCAGCCACGGCTAACGCCAGGGGTGACTGTCTGAGTACGAATCCCAGCCACGGCTAACGCCAGGGGTGACTGTCTGAGTACGAATCCCAGCCACGGCTAACGCCAGGGGGTGACTGTCTGAGTACGAATCCCAGCCACGGCTAACGCCAGGGGTGACTGTCTGAGTACGAATCCCAGCCACGGCTAGCACCAGGGGTGACTGTGTGAGTACGAATCCCAGCCACGGCTAGCACCAGGGGTGACTGTGTGAGTACGAATCCCAGCCACGGCTAGCACCAGGGGTGACTGTCTGAGTACGAATCCCAGCCACGGCTAGCACCAGGGGTGACTGTGTGAGTACGAATCCCAGCCACGGCTAACGCCAGGGGTGACTGTCTGAGTACGAATCCCAGCCACGGCTAACGCCAGGGGTGACTGTCTGAGTACGAATCCCAGCCACGGCTAACGTCAGGGGTGACTGTCCGGCTGTAAACGAGCAGCTGGGGGAGGCACTCGCTGACAGAACTTGTACCGGCAGTGTGCGCGGGCTACATGGGGGGCCTTTATCTTTGTGTGCACGTGCAGGTTTGTGGGGAGACCAGGAAACTACGTGTACGTCTTCCCCGGTCATCGCATGGAGGAGGTGAGCACCTCCTCATCATCTTTGACATCGTCACAGCCCTCTCTCGCATCCTCCCCCGTGTCCGACTTCACACCGCATCCCAACGTCTCCGTGTCTCCCCATGTGTCTCCCCACGTGTCTCCCCACGTGTCTCTCCGCGTGTCTCCTCGCGTGTCTCCCCGCGTGTCTCCCCGCGTGTCTCTCACCGCGTGTCTCTCACCGCGTGTTTCACCGCGTGTCTCACCGCGTGTCTCACCGCGTGTCTCACAGCGTGTCTCACCGCGTGTCTCACCGCGTGTGTCTCACCGCGTGTCTCACCGTGTGTCTCACCACGTGTCTCACCACGTGTCTCACCACGTGTGTCGCACCGCGTGTGTCTCACCACGTGTCTCTCACCACGTGTCAGTGTGCCCCGGGCGGCTGTCTCATGGAGCTCTGCATCCAGCTCAGCATCATCATGCTCGGCAAGCAGCTCATCCAGAACAACCTCTTTGAGATCGGCATCCCGTGAGTCCACCACCACTATCACGACGATGATGACGAAGATGAATTATATGATCAGAAATTATGATGTTTACCATAACAATGACGATTGTGGTGATAATTATATAGATGATAATTATGATGACGAGATTTATAGTAATGATGTTACGATGATTATTGCAACAATCATTAATATCGTCATCGGCCGATGATGCCGAAGACGGTGTTAATGTAGAGATGATTGTGGAGATCTTGACGATGATGATTATATTTCGATTTAAAGCTTTCGTGACTGCAAGGATTCATCTTCTTTGGTTCTTTCGGTAAAGTAACGTAGAATGAGAATAAAATAATAAATTGATAAAATAAAATAACACAATAATATTATCACGACGTTTCGGCCACAACACAAGCGGCCTTCTTCAGGTGAAGGGACGAGACTGTCTGGTAGGACAGCGCTGTCCTACCAGACAGTCTCGTCCCTTCACCTGAAGAAGGCCGCTTGTGTTGTGGCCGAAACGTCGTGAGAATATTACTGTGTTATTTTATCAATTTTTTTATTTTATTCTCATTCTACTTGACTTTACCGAAAGAACCAAAGAAGAAGATGATGATTATTGCAACAGTCATCATAATGTCAATGATGCCGACGATGATGGTGCAGGAGGATGAAGAAGCTGCTGCGAAGCCTACGCAAGAAGGAGGTGCTGCACCTGCACCACCACCACCACGGCGGCGGCGACGGCGACTCCGAGGGGCTCCCCAAGCGCCGCTGGGACCTGGACCACGAACTGGACCCCTACGCCGGCCTCACCCCCGAGTACATGGAGATGAGTACGTGCCGGACGCGCCGGTCATTCGCGCTCTCGTCCCGGACACACCCGTGTACCAGACACACCCGTGTTCCGGCCACACCCGTGTACCGGCCGCACCCGTGTACCGGCCGCACCCGTGTACCGGCCACGCCCGTGTACCGTACACGCCCGTGTACCGGCCACACCCGTGTACCGGCCGCACCCGTGTACCGGCCACACCCCTGTACCGGCCACACCCGTGTACCGGCCACACCCGTGTACCGTACACGCCCGTGTACCGGCCACGCCCGTGTACCGGCCACGCCGGCCACGGTCACGCCGGCCACGGTCACGTCCCCGGCCACGCCAACACCCACCCCACCGCAACCCCCACCCGCCGTGCACATTCTGTGGCCACACCGACCCCGCTTGTCCGGCCGCACCAATCCCCCACGCGCGTGGTTGGTGATGCTGATGCTGCTGCTGCGTAAGTGACGGTGTTGGCGGTGGTGCAGTGTCGCTAATGCTGCCGAGATCATCGTGGGGATCTTCATGACGACGCTGCTGCTGCTGCTGTTGATGATGATGACGTTGGTCTACTCCTCCTCCCCCCCCCCAGTCATCCAGTTTGGCTTCGTGACGCTGTTCGTGGCGTCCTTCCCACTGGCGCCGCTCTTTGCGCTGCTCAACAACGTCATCGAGATCCGCCTGGACGCCAAGAAGTTCGTCTCCGAGCTGCGGAGACCCACGGCCGTGCGCGCCAAGGACATCGGTGGGGGCCCGCGACAACCACCACAACAACAACCACAACAACAACCACAACAACCACCACCACAACAACCACAACAACAACCACAACAACCACCACCACAACAACAACCATCGCAACAACCACCACAACAACCACAACAACCACAACAACAACCACCACAACAACCACAACAACCACAACAACAACCACCGCAACAACCACCGCAACAACCACAACAACAACCGCAACAACCGCAACAACCACCACAATAACCACAACAACCACAACAACCACCACAACAACCACAACAACCACCACAACAACCACCACAACAACCACCACAACAACAACCACAACAACCACCACAACAACCACCACAACAACCACAACAACAACCACAACCACAACAACAACCACCACAACAACCACCGCAACAACCACCGCAACAACCACCGCAACAACCACCACAACAACCGCCACAACAACCACAACAACAACCACAGCAACAACCACAACAACAACCACAACAACAACCACAACAACAACCACCACCACAACAACCACAACAACAACCACCGCAACAACCACCGCAACAACCACAGTAACAACCATAACAACAACCACAACAACAACCACCACAACAACAACAACCACAACAACAACAACAACCACAACAACCACCACAACAACCACAACAACAACCACAACAACCACCACAACAACAACTACAACAACAACCACAACAACCACAACAACAACCACAACAACAACCACCGCAACAACCACCGCAACAACCACCGCAACAACCACCGCAACAACAACCACAACAACAACAACACAACAACCACAACAACAACCACAACAACAACAACCACAACAACAACCACCACAACAACCACCACAACAACCACCACAACAACCACCACAACAACCACCACAACAACCACCGCAACAACAACCACAACAACCACAACAACAACCACAACATCCACAACAACAACCACAACAACCACCACAACAACCACAACAACCACAACAACAACCACCACAACAACCACAACAACCACCACCACAACAACAACACAACAACCACAACAACAACCACAACAACCACCACCACAACAACCACAACCACAGCAACAACCACCGTAATAACAAGGGCAACAACAACCACAACAACAACCACAATAACTGCAACAACCACAACCCTCAGCAACCATAATCACAACGGCTGCTATAACAACCACAACAACTGCAACAACACCAACAATAATCGCAATCAAATCTGCAACAACAACAACGGAACAAATAACTGCAAAACAACAACCACAACCACAACCGTAATCGCAACCACTGCCATAACTACAACAACAACAACCACCACTGCAACCACAACTACAATAACAACAACCACTGCAACCACAACTACAATAACAACAACCACTGCAACCACAACTACAATAACAACAACCACAACAACCACAATCGCAACAATCGCAACAACTGTAACAAAAACAGCCACGACAACGTCCACAACCGCAGCAACCACAATGACGACATTGAATGTGGGCCAGCAGGCACGGTCCACATTTGCCCACGATTTGAATTTAAAAAAATGAACCCTGCTCGTTACTCAATTTGGATCGCACGCACAGAGCAGCGATCCCTCGACTAACGCCCATCCTCCCGCTCTCTCTTCGAGTTTTTAACCGGTTACACAACAGCCACTTGAAACTGGAACTCACGCACCCACTCGTTCATTCACTCACCTACTCACTCATTCACTCACCTACTCGCTAACTCATTCACAATCTCACTCACCCACACGCTCGCCCACTCACTCACGATTTCACTCACCCACTTGCTCATGATCTCACTCACCCACCTGCTCGCCCACTCGCTCACGATCTCATTCACTCACTCACGATCTCACTCACCCACCCACTCGCCCACTCGTTCATTCACTCACCTACTCACTAACTCACTCACAATCTCGCTCACCCACTCGCTCACCCACTCGCTCACGATCTCACTCGCCCACTCGCTCACCCACTTGCTCATGATCTCACTCACCCACCTGCTCACCCACTCGCTCACGATCTCACTCACCCACTCGCTCACCCACTTGCTCATGATCTCATTCACCCACCTACTCGCCCACTCGCTCACGATCTCACTTAATCATTCACTCACTCACGATCTCACTCACCCACTCGCCCACAATCTCACTCACCCACCCACTCGCTCACGATCTCACTCACTCGCCCACTCGCTCACGATCGCACTCACCCACTTGCTCACGATCTCACTCACTCATTCACTCACTCTCGATCTCACTCACCCACCCACTCGCCCACTCGCTCACGATCTCACTCGCCCACCCACTCGCCCACTCACTCACGATCACACTCACCCATCCACTCGCTTATGATCTCATTCGCCCACTCGCTCACGATCGCACTCATTCACTCACTCACCCACTCACTCACCCAATCACTCACCCACTTGCTCACGATCTCACTCACTCATTCACTCACTCTCGATCTCACTCACCCACCCACTCGCCCACTCGCTCACGATCTCACTCGCCCACCCACTCGCCCACTCACTCACGATCACACTCACCCATCCACTCGCTTACGATCTCATTCGCCCACTCGCTCACGATCGCACTCATTCACTCACTCACCCACTCACTCACCCAATCACTCATTCACTCACTCAGAATCTCACCCACTCACTCATTCACTCGTTTATTCGCTCTCGCGATCTTTCTCACCCACTCATCCATTCACCCACCCACCCACCCGCTCACTCATTCGTCCACTCATTAAATCGCTCTTGCAAATGAGACCTCTCGATCCCGGTCTCCAGAGTTCCCACCTCGTCACACACCGAGTCAACTTGACACCTGGCTCATGTCGTTCCATCACTGTAAGCGTGACACAGCCCCTGCCACCCAGTGGCACGGTCAGGAAAACGCAGCCGGCTCTAAAACGCGTACCCCAGGGCAGTGAGGATGATGTGTGTACGTTGAACTTCTTTCGGACCGTAGGTAGCCAAGCGGTGGCGCGGGGAAGGACAACAAACTAAACACAAAAAGCTATTTTGAAGAAACGAGTTTGTCAATGTAGACGATGATTTAAGAGTTCACAGCTCCCAGTGGCTTCCTGATATATCGGAAGGAAGAGCGTTCCAGACGGCCGCAGAAGCGCACCAGAAAGCGCCGGGCGATGCGGCGGCCTTGTCAGTTTGATGGCCGGCCAAAAGTGTCGTGTGCAGTGTAATGTGTAGTGTATAGTGTAATGTGTAGTGTATAGTGTAATGTGTAGTGTATAGTGTAATGTGTAGTGTATAGTGTAATGTGTAGTGTATAGTGTAATGTGTAGTGTATAGTGTAATGTGTAGTGTAATGTGTAGTGTATAGTGTAATGTTTAGTGGAGTAGATAGTCTGGTGTATATCGCATGTGAAGGCGCACGATGCAGAAAACCGTCTTTGTTCCGTGGGCAGCCAAAAGCCGCTGCCACGACACGAGGATGGCCCAGAGTGCGGCTGGCCGGGGTTGGCGCGGTGACGGGTCGATGCCAGATAGAAATAAAATCACGCACAACAACTAATAACGCAAACAACAACAACAACTATGTTTAGTTTAATATATTCACGTGGTTCGTGTGAGTTGCGTCTCTCGCAGCACACACAGAGCCGGAAGGCGGGGCGGTGAGGGAGCCCCCCCCGCTGCTACCAGCCCCAAGCTCTGCGGCTCCTCTCCGCATTAAGATGTTCGCAAGCCGCGTGTGACAAGGAGCGTTTGAGACAATTTGACGCATTTTGTGTAAACGTTGCGGGTTTGCCATCTTGGCGGCGCCCCGCCGAACCGTTGGAGCTGCGGTCCGTCGCCGATCGCGGCGCTCTTTAGTTCACGTGACGGGGCTCGCCAATGGACACTGCCGGGTGGAGGAGGGCGCACAACACGGATGGATTTGCGAGAGCCGCGACGCTCGCCCTCGCGCCAACGCGGCCGCGAGTGTGCAGGCGGTGCACCTGCACCGAGCTGACGCGATGGCTCCCCCCCCCCCCACCCCCTCCCTCCACCTGATCCCCCCCAACCCCCCCTCTGCTCTGTGGCTCTCCCAGGAATCTGGTTCAACATCCTCTCCGGCATCGGGAAACTCAGCGTCATCACAAACGTGAGTCGGGGATTCCATCCCCCACGACCACCTCGCTCCTCCTTCCGTTCCCTCGCTCCCTCCCCTCCGCTCACTCCAGCCAACACATCCCATTTCATCCACTTTCATCCCCCTTGAGACGCCACACTATATCCGTCCATCACCCACTCTCCCCGTCACCCAAAGATCCCCCGTGTAGCATCTCAACAGACTGTCGAGGCTTGGTGCCGTTAGCGAGCAGCGCCGAGCAGGCTCACCATCACGGGTGTTGCTGGCCCTGAGCGGGAATGGAACTCGCCGGGTTCGTAGCGCAGCTCGCTCACCGCTGCTCCACCGCTCGGTCGCTCTCCTTCCTCCATCCGTAACCCCTCGCCGTGACCCAACAATCGGTCCACCGTGTGACCCCACCCCACCCCGCTCTCACCCCCGCTCACCCACCCCACCCCAGGCGTTTGTGATCTCGACCACGTCGGACTTCATCCCGCGGCTCGTCTACCTGTACATGTACAGCGCGGACGGCACCATGCGGGGCTTTGTGGACCACACGCTGTCGCATTTCAACGTCAGCGACTTCGCCGAGGGCACCGGCCCGGCCGGCGACGTCGGCACGGGGGGCGACGCGGAGGTCCTCTCCTGCAGGTCGGCCGCTCTTCTCCTTCTTCCTCTTCTTGTTCTTCTTCTTCTTCCTCTTTTTCCTCTTCTTCGTCTTCTTCTTCTTCTTGTTCTTCTTCTTGTTCTTGTTGTTCTTGTTGTTCTTGTTGTTCTTGTTGTTCTTGTTGTTCTTGTTGTTCTTCTTCTTGTTCTTCTTCTTGTTCTTCTTCTTGTTCTTCTTCTTGTTCTTCTTCTTGTTCTTCTTCTTGTTCTTCTTCTCCTCCTCCTTCTTCTCCTCCTTCTTCTTCTCCTCCTTCTTCTTCTCCTCCTTCTTCTTCATCATCTTCTTCTTCGTCGTCGTCGTCGGGTTGTCATTGTCTCGTCGTCGTCGGGCCTTCGTCGTCGCGTAGTGGCGGTTGAGTTGAGGGGGTAGCGATGGTGGGGGAGCCAGGGGGGGTGGGGTCACGGGGTCATGAGGTCGCGGGGTGAGAGTCGGCCCATACTCAACGCGGCGACTCATAGCCTCGCACAGAGACCCACAGGTATTGTCTACGTTATGTTGTTGTTGAATGGGTGGGTGATGGGGTGGGTGGGTTGGTTATTGGGCGGGTTGGTGGGCGAGTGGGCAAACGGGCGCAGGTGGGGAAGCAAGCCAGTGAGTGGGTGGGCAAGCCAGTGAGCGGGTGGGCAAGCCAGTGAGTGGGTGGGCAAGCCAGTGAGTGGGTGGGCGGGCAAGCCAGTGAGTGGGTGGGCAAGCCAGTGAGTGGGTGGGCGGGCAAGCCAGTGAGTGGGTGGGCAAGCCAGTGAGTGGGTGGGCGGGCAAGCCAGTGAGTGGGTGGGCGGGCAAGCCAGTGAGTGAGTGGGTGGGCAAGCCAGTGAGTGGGTGGGCAAGCCAGTGAGTGGGTGGGCGGGCAAGCCAGTGAGCGGGTGGGCAAGCCATTGAGTGGGTGGGCAAGCCATTGAGTGGGTGGGCAAGCCATTGAGTGGGTGGGCAAGCCAGTGAGTGGGTGGGCAAGCCAGTGAGTGGGTGGGCAAGCCATTGAGTGGGTGGGCAAGCCATTGAGTGGGTGGGCAAGCCATTGAGTGGGTGGGCAAGCGAGTGAGTGGGTGGGCAAGCGAGTGAGTGGGTGGGCAAGCCATTGAGTGGGTGGGCAAGCCAGTGAGTGGGTGGGCAAGCCAGTGAGTGGGTGGGCAAGCCAGTGAGCGGGTGGGCGGGCAAGTCGCCAACGTCTCGCCGCTTGTCCTCCCTGCGTGTGACACCGCCGCTCAGACATGGCTCGGTGTGCATCCCGAGCGCAGTACTAACTTGCGGTGTTGTGGTGGCGATTGCGGTGGTGGTGGTGGTGGTGGTGGCCGGCGGGGGCGGTGCAGGTACAAGGACTACCGCGACCCGCCGGGCTCGGAGCGGCCGTACGACACCAACAAGCAGTACTGGGCCGTCATGGCCGCCCGCCTCGCCTTCGTCATCATCTTCCAGGCGAGCACCCTCGCCCGCCCGCTCGCCGCACGCTCGCTGGCTCGCCCAACCGCTCGCTCGCTCGCAGCGCATTCGCTCGCCCGCTCGTTCACCCGCTCGCTCATTCACCGCTCGTTCACCCGCTCGCCCGCTCACTCCACCCGCTCGCTCGTTCACTCGATTCATCCGTGACCCGCTCGCCTGTAACATTCACATCTCGCCCCAATCCTGCCGTGACCACCCTCCACCCTCGTCTCCCGCAGAACCTCGTCATGTTCCTGAGCAATGTCCTCGACTGGCTCATCCCCGACATCCCCAAGGACATCGCGGACTGCCTGAAGAAGGAGCGAACTCTCATCGTCGCCACCTTCCTCAAGGAGGAGCAGGAGAAGATGCAGCTCCTGGGAAACCTGGGCCAGAACAAGGATGGACGCGAGCGACGAGGTGGTGGAGGTGGAGGAGGAGGCGGAGGAGGAGGCGGAGGCGGAGGAGGTGGCGACCCGCTCGAATCGTCCCAGCGGGAACTGGGGGACTCGTCGTGGGAGGGAGCGGAGAGGGCCAGCAACCAGCAGCACAACGGCAGCAGCGTGGGGGCCGGGCGCGAGCGGGCGGAGAGCCCCGCCGGGGGGAGGGACGGGGGGGGGCTCGAGCCGGCGGAGGGGGGGGTGGGGGTCGACGAGCGGGGGGGGCACCGCCCCAGCAACGCCTCCTGCAGCGCGCAGCACACCGTTGTGTAGGGGCACGCACGGGCACACGGGCACGCACGGACACGCGGACACGGGCACACGAGTGGGCACGGGCACACGAGTGGGCACGGGCACAGACACGCACGGACACACACGCACACACGCGCAGGACACGCACACGCGCGGGGACACACGCGCGTGTGCGTGCGTGTGATGGGAATCATGCATGTTGGGTGTGTGTGTGCGTGTACTTGGTCTACGCGTATGTTGTGTGCCTGCCTGTGTTTTGTCTGCGGGTGGTTGGGAGCGGTGCATATACCACAGGGAGTTTGTGTGGTGCATACAGGAGGAAGGTGGTTGGGTGTGGGGTGCATACAGGAGTGGTGCGTGGTGCAGTTTGTTAGCGAGCAGATTGCCCGTCGCTTAGAAGCGAGATTCTCGTTCCACGTTCTCACAAAGCAGTACCGAGTTCCCAGTGTAAAAAAAATAACAAACGTGCAGGCGCGCGCGCACGTTTGTAAACATGCGTGTGTGTTTCCAACCGAATTATAACATTGACCCAACGTTGGCCCAAACGTTGGTTTCACTCCCGGTTTTTGAAACGTAATGCTGTGGAAGAGTAGGCCAAAGTAAGTAACCCCCCCCCCCCCTCCCTTAGAGAGGCCTCTCGCGGGCTCCGTCCAGTGGAGCCATTTTCGTTCTGGTTTTAAACCCACGCGTTGCCCCCACCAAAGACAAAGCTCCCCCATGTAGCCTTAACGGACTCGTCGGGGCAACGACAACAGCAGCAGCCGCCATTAGCCATGACGTCACAACAACGGCGGTGACGTCACGGCCGCCTCACCCGCCGCCGCACGCGACGTTCCGGGTCGCCCGACCGATTGTGGCCGACCCTCGTTCACGCCGCTGGGTGGACAGAGGCGACGCGGTGGGTGGGTGGCGGTGGGTGGTGGCGGCGGTGGTGGTGGTTGTTGTCGGGGTGGTGCATCACGATGCGTGCAAGTCCGTTCCAGACGGCCGCAGAAGCGCGCGTCCGAAAGCGCCGCGCGATGCGGTTGGCCGCCTTTGTTCGCTGGTTACCCAAGAGTGTAGTGCATCGCGTAGTGTGTGCAGTGTATATAGCGCCTAATAGCGCCGCGCAGTGCGGCAACCCGCTTTGTTTTCGATGGGCTGAGCTAAAAGCCGCCGCTGCGAGGATGGAGGGGAGTTGGCGTGGCGATGGTTTTATAGTTTACGGAGTCCGCTTCAAGTCGGCTTACCCGGCTGAGATGGACTCCTCGAGAGAGACCCCAGGGCAAGAAGGATTGCTGGAGGTTCTCATGCCTCAAGAGTTGCGGCCAAGATCGTCACCAGATTGGCAGGGGGCAGAACAAGTGCAAATGCGGCAACTGCGATGAAGCGAATTGAAATCCCGTCGCACGCGTGGGGTGAGCCGGTCGGTCGGTCGGTCGGCTCGGCCATCGGAGCGCAGTTGCAGAGTTCTCAAAGTTTCGTAGACGTCAAACGGACGTAGCAGGTGACTCGCGCTCACTGGCAAGCAGACACGAGTCACGGGCAATGCTAGTCTCTGGGCAGCGTAACCCTATGGTCAATACCCGTCCATGAGCCAGCAATGCGAGACTGTGCTGACGGACCGCATGGAGGTGCACGCGGTGGGTGGGGGTGAGTGAGTGGGTGGGGGTGAGTGAGTGGGTGGGGGTGAGTGAGTGGGTGGGGGTGAGTGAGTGAGTGGGGGTGAGTGGGTGGGGGTGGTGCCGCGTGCCACGCGCAATGCACTAGGAGTGTTTTGTCGACTCGGGAAAGAGGCGGACCCAGTGTCGTGATCCTTGGCGGCTTGAGGTTCTAAGCCCTCCCGTCCACCATTGCCTCGCTCAAGAGATTTCCCGTCCTGCCAATGTCTCCGTCTCACGCCACCTCGTCTCTGTCTCCCTCTCTCTCCTACAGCGTTTGAATTGGGGGCGAGGGGGGGGGTGTGCCTTCTACTCACCCCCACTCCTCCAACCCTTACCATCACGAGGACCCTTACTGGGGGGGAAGGGGGTCGGATTGGTGGGGGGGGGTCACAGCCCCTCCCCTCCTCCCCCACACCTACCTCGCCCCCCCCCCCCCCACCCTTCTCTCGCAGTCTCAGCAGCAGGGCATCCAGCTGCCATCGCCCGCCGGTAACCCCTTCGCTGGCTCGCAGGATGTGGCCAGGTGCGATTTACTGGTGCAGCCTACAGCCTACAGGTGTTACAGGTGTAGGCTTCATGTGCGGTCTCGTGTGTATTACCGGCCTGGACTCATGATGTAGGGCTTACAGGTGTTCGGTGCAGGTATGGGCCAGGTTGTAATTCCTGCTAAGGGATCATGGTGTAGGCTACAGGTGTTGGGTACAGGTGTATGCTACAGTAGCTGCAGGTGTAGGCTATACGGTTCGGCGTTATAAGCAGGGCTCACCGTTTTGCTCGATATTATCTGGAATGCCGATAGCTAGGTCGGCTTGGGCGGCTGGCTGGCGAGTAGGTTGATTTACTACAAGATACGCCGATCCATAACAGCCCTATAATAATTGTGTATCCTATAGCAATCCCATATTGCACGGCTTTGGGACAAAATGAAGTGGAGGAGGATGTGGCGCGAGAGAATCATTCCCCCGGGGTGGGGGGTGGAGAGTGTTCAGCCTCGATTATAGCAGCGCGTGACCCCAGGCGCGTGACCCCAGGCGCGTGACCCCAGGCGTGTCACCAGGTGTGTGCCCAGGCACGTGACCCCAGGCGCGTGACCCCAGGCGCGTGACCCCAGGCGCGTGACCCCAGGCGCGTGACCCCAGGCGCGTGCCCTCTTAAGCGCATGCCGCTGTGCCGCTCTCGCTGTGATTCCCGTGGAGCTGATATCTGATTTCCCCCCCCCCCCCCACCACTTTCCACCAATCACCATCCAATCCTGCCCAGCACCCCCGCTTATTAATTTGCATGCACGTGGTTGGAGTGGGGGAGGCGGAGGGGGGGCGGACGGGGGGGGTCGTTCCTCCAGAGTTCACAGACGTTGTGGACCCCCCCCCCCCCCGCTGGTCCCCGTCACTTGGCTATGCCTCCCCTCACCGCCCCCCAAATATCTCAACTCGCCGTTGTCTTTGTTTGTTTGTTTAATTTATGTTGCCAAGCTGCCTTGTCAGTGATTATCACCGTGTGTGTGTGTGTGGTGTGCGTGCAAGTGTGTGTGTGATGGGGTGTATACACGTGTGTGTTGGTGTGCGTGTGTGGGGGAGCGGTGGTGTTGTGGTTAGCGCTACGCTGCGCTACGAACCTGGCGACCCGGGTTCGATTCCCGCTCACGGCCAACACCGGTGACGATTATCTGAACTGGGCCTCCCCTAGGTCGAGTCGGCCTCAAATGAGTACCTGGTGCGGTGCGTAAAAACATCGCCACTGGGGAGACAAAAGCGGCCGGACGTGGTGCTGGCCACCCACCCCCTCGTGTGCCGTTCTGACCTTCATAGGTGCTCGCGAACAGCACTTGCCCCTACAGTCTGTTCAGGCTATACGGGGGATCTTTGTGTGCGTCTTGTATGCCTGTTTCTGTGTGTGTGTCTATGTGTCTTTGTATGTGTGTGCCTGTGTGTGCCCGTGCCTGTGTGATTCCCGTGTACACACTCTCCCCCAATCTGCATGCCACCAGCTTCCGTGTGTTCAGTCTGGCTGTCTCGTCACAGTCCGCTCGCTTGCCTGCCTGACACACGTGGGACACAGACGCACAAAATATCCCCCGTGTAGCCTTTTTACAGAACTGTTGGGGCAAGTGCTGTTAGCGAGCAGCAGCACCTAATGAAGGCCAGACAAAGATCCCCCGTATAGCCTTTACAGAACTGTTGGGGCAAGTGCTGTTAGCGAGCAGCACCTAATGAAGGCCAGACACATATCCCCCGTATAGTCTTTACAGAACTGTTGGGGCAAGTGCTGTTAGCGAGCAGCACCTAATGAAGTCCAGACACAGATCCCCCGTATAGCCTTTACAGAACTGTTGGGGCAAGTGCTGTTAGCGAGCAGCACCTAATGAAGGCCAGACACAGATCCCCCGTATAGCCTTTACAGAACTGTTGGGGCAAGTGCTGTTAGCGAGCAGCACCTAATGAAGGCCAGACACAGATCCCCCGTATAGCCTTTACAGAACTGTTGGGGCAAATGTTGTTGGCGAGTAGCACCACCTAATGAAGGGCAGCACGGCACGCGAGAGAGGGTGGGTGGGTGGCCAGCACCACGCCGAAAGGATCGGACACAAAGACACACACACACGAACCAACTCTCAACCTGAAGCCAGTAGTTGGACCTTGGAACGGCATCACCTTGCGATGGGAGGCGGGGGGGGGAGAGATAAAACTCCCTGTTGACTCGGCCACTCGGAGAGAGCGAGCGAGTGACGACGCCCACGGCTCAGACGCCATGCGACTCCTTGAGAAGATCATTCGGCAGCAGGACGAGTAAGGAACGACGCCGGGAGACGCCGAGAGACGCACGGAAAGCGGTGAACGCCATCGCCCCGGAAATCTCTCCTCCACCGCCTCGTGACCGCCCGTCGACTTCTCCGCACAGCCACCTTGAAACTGGCGATTGACAATTACGACCTCTGAATAATCATTGCGATGGTTTATGATGATGATGATTTTAGGACTGTCACGATGAGCGGGAATAATGATGATGATGGTGATCATGCTTTGGTGGGTGATGATGCGCTTGGGGATATGAAGAAATCGTGCAGATCATTGTTGGCTTACTGATGGTGATGGCAGGGATGATGCTCATTGTGATGATGGTGATGGCAGGGATGATGCTCATTGTGATGATGGTGATGGCAGGGATGATGCTCATTGTGATGATGGTGATGGCAGGGATGATGCTCATTGTGATGATGGTGATGGCAGGGATGATGCTCATTCTGATGATGGTGATGGCAGGGATGATGCTCATTCTGATGATGGTGATGGCAGGGATGATGATGACAGGAATGATGCCTACTCATGATGATTGCAGGGGGGTGATGCTCATCATGATGATGGCTGGTAAGGGTGGTGGTCATAGACCTATTAGTGGATTATATCGATTGAAAAAAAATATATAAATATTTTAAAAAAATAATCCACCGCAAAG